CAGAGCTGCGGGCTACCTGCCCGCGGGCATCCTGGCCCCTGCGATGGACACCGCCGCCGAGCAGCAGGAGCTCGAGTGCAGCCCCATCTCTGTCTTCCCAACCACTTTTCTGCCGCCTGTGTTTTCCTACGGAGGGAAACTGAATTTGGACACGGTGAGACTGAACGGCAGCTCTTTCACGAGGTAGGGGGGCAGAATGGTCTGGCCTTGATTTCTGCACTTGGTGGAGTATTTCAGCACGTTTCACTGCAGCCGGTACAACAACTCGTATGTGACACCTCCAGGGGACAAAAGCCAACTCCCAAACCTCTCCAGCAGTGCCACTCATGCCTTACAGAGCATGCTAAGGTAGAATTAAAGACAGAAGAGCCAGGATTGCTGGGGCTCAGCAGCCTGCCTTTTTGAGAGTTTAATTGCTCAGGCTGCCTTTACACAGCCTGGGTACCCCCAGGTCCCTGTCCCACTGACCACAAGCAACCAAGTCTGGCTTGAACTACATCAGACAAGCTAAAAATCATTTAAAATAATGCTTTCCAAGAAGAAAAAGCGCTGATTTCAGTAAGGGTCAGCCCTCAGCATCTGACAGGATCACGGTTGCAGCCTGTGCTCCAGCTGCACCCAAGTGAGAAATGCGACATTTGGAAATCTGCAGGAGCTGGTGCTAAACCTACACGCCCAATACCCCACAAACAGCGTTCCTCAAAGAGAGGGAACACTGGCACGAAGTCGTTGCATCCCCATGACCCTGGTGCTACAGCCCCACACGGGCCCCAAAGGCTGTGAGATTTGTTATTTCTGCAGCAGGGCTGAGCAGCGCCATCAGGAGCCTGCCCCCGTGGCTCAGTTTGGAGAAATCCTCAGCAGAAATAAAGGAAGAGGCAGCACATGGGTACAGTAAGTCAAATGGACCGTGGAGAATTTAAATGATTTATTGAAGTGTTCTAATTACAGGTTTGAAGCACGTGTTACACACGTAATGACTCTGTTTACTCGGTGTAGATATGTGATGCGTATTTATAAATAGGATGTTGGGAACCTGCAGTTTTCTTGTTTTCTCTGTTCAAGCTCAAGTGCAGCCGGGCACAGAACAAAACACCCTTAAAAGCAAAGCTGGAGGTTTGCTCCTAGGGGTGAGGCTGTCCAGATTTGACCTTACCTGCAGCACCAGCTCTTTATCTCCTTTCCCTGACTCAGGTGACTTCTCCACCCCCAGCCGGCCATACAAGCTGCTAAGCAGTGCCATAAATTCATGTAACAGCCTCCTGTGACACTAAAATCTGCTACCTAGCTTGAGGAGGAGACAATCCTTGGCAGCTCCGCAAACATCTCCTTTTAAAGCAGAAACAAACGTACCGGCAGCACAAGACTGCTGCTTCAAGGCCACAGCTCTCCCCACCACATTTCCCTTAAATTAAAAATTTTAACTTTACTGCTGCATTAGGGGGATCTCTTTGCCCGTTCCCCTGGTTTTTATTCCAGATCCAGCTACATTATCTTCTACAGGAGCTCTATAAACTGCTGTGATCCCAAGTCCAAAGACCAGTGCATGACAAGACTGATTTTGATGGTAACACTGCCTTCCAATTTGGTGCCAAAACACATGGGGATTATCAGCATCACTGATTGTATGGGGTGCTGTACCTCTGCTTGCACTGACACCTCTACAGTGGGCAGTGTCTGCTGTTTCTGCATCCTGAGAACAAAGCAAAGCCAACATTGAGCCAAATGCTGGTAGATTTGCTCTATAGCCGTGCACCCCGCAGCAGCAGCCCCCAGGAACGCAGAGCAGCTCGGGTGCCCGGCCAGCCACGGGTCCATGGCACACCCCAAGCACAGGGCAGGGCGCTGGGTGTCGGGAAACGCTGCAAAAAAAGAGCCAAGGAGGAACACCCCAGTAACAGCCCCCAGGACAGCAGCACACCATCACCCAGCGGCCTCGTGCTGTGCTCCTCGGGGCTCCTCCAGCAGCGAAAACAGCTGCTGAGAAGCGGGTTCCTGGGGAGCATCCTCCTGCTCTGGCGGGTGGGTGCAGTGCCCAGGCCCTCCTGCAGGCATCCCAAGGGATCCTCCTCTTACCGGGGCTGTGGCAAGGTTTGTTCTTCCCGTCCATCACCTCGGCAGCCCCTTTTGGGTGAGGATACTCACCCTCACTCTCCAGCCACTTGACACGAGCTCACCGTGTTCACGGCAAACACTGTGATGGAGAAAAAGTGACCCCCAGATGTCACCAAGCCTCTTGCTCAGGACACACACACACGAACTCATGAAGGCTCAGTGCCATCTGCCTCACCACGAGCAATGCACACTCCCCCCTTCCATCCCCAATTCCAACAGGGCTTTAAAAACCCGCAGGTTCTGCTACCTGCAGACCCCAATGAAGCCACGTGCCAGGAGGCTCCACAGCAGCTCCTGCAGCACAGCCCTGCTCACGGCGCTGCTGGGGGCTCAGCCTGGAGCTGTGTTTCCAAACAATATTTCAGAACAGTATTTGGAACAGGATGTTCCAAAATAGTAGGTGCTCAGACTGCTCCCAGGGCTGCGGGCATTGCCCAGCAGCAGTTTCACACCCGAGGTGTCAGAGCTCCCCCCTGCTCCACCCATCGCAGACAGCTCTCCATCTGTCAGCTGCACACAACCACCCACCCCTTCCCAAAGCAGTTTTTCTCCAAAAAGGTTAGAAATGAGCACTGCTGTCAGCAAATTGTCAGCAACCTACCTGTGCGCACCGACCTTTGACTTCAGGCACGTTGCTAGCTGCTTCCAAAATCACTCAGCACAGCACGCCAGGACGCATCCCTTCCTCCGGGCTCTTAAAGTATGAGGCTCCCACATGGGGCTCCCCAAAAGTCCTACTCCAACTTGAGGAGACAAACGGCACCACGGCTAGGGGTAAGAGCCAGCCACTGAACTCCTGAGGGTCTCCTAGCAAGGCCACACAAACCCTTTTCCCCGTCAGGCTCAAGCTCTCCAGCACGAGTTCTGCACTCGGCTTTTCCAGCCAACCTCTGTGCCGGGGCACTCGGTCCTGGCTCAATTTCACCTCAAACCAGGCAAGGGCAGAGCAAATGCAGGTGTGCAATGAAGGCAGCAGGGTCTTTGTAACGACTGCAGGACAAGCAGCAGTTATAGCAGGTGCTGGTGTCAGCTCCAGGCACACGTCCTGCATTTATTAAAGCAAGGTGTGGCTACGCAAACCCATCCCAACGGGCAAAATCCTTACAGGTAGGAGGGGTGTCAATTCCCATATATTGACACCACTTTCTGATGTTCCATTTTCCTCAGAAAAACGTCTTTCCCACACAGCCAACACTTACATTTATTGGTCACTCCCATTTCCTCCCAGCATCAGCAGCATCCAACCTGTAAGATGAACTTTCCTGCTCCAACCCTGCCGTCGTTAAATTCGCATGCCGATTTGCACCGTGCGCTCCTCCCTCTCTGACCTTTTTTCTGCTGGTCACCTTTTCCAGATTGTTCAGATTTTTAAAGGTTTAGTCCCCTGGATTTGGTGTGACAGCATAAGTAGCAATCTGGATAGAAATGTTACTGAAAAGCAAGCTCATTGACAGAGACCTGTTCCCTGAGTCCCTCCCCAGCACCACGGCCACGGGAAGATCTGGACCACTCGGGGCAGGACCTAGAGGACCCGCTGCTAACCTAGGCGTTTTCACCTCCGTGTGTTTCATGACATTTCTAAAAGAGCATGAAAATAAACCTTTATTTCAGTTAACGCCCACCAATATTAAAGATAGACGTTCACAGTTTTAGTTCTCGACAGGAATGGACTGAAAGAGGCAAATTTACATCTAGCAGAGCAGACAGAGCAGGGGTAAGCTCAAGCTGTCCTGAAAGCCATCCGTGACGTGCCACCGGGAAACTGCTCTCTATCCTACAGCAGGGAAAGGGAAAGCTTCTGGCCAAGTCCGGCCAGCAGGGCCCCGAGGGACTGGAGGGCCCAGAAGTGTTTCTGCACATCAAGGTGTTCATTTATTATGTATTATTTGAGGCGTCCCTAATGCTGGAAGTCCAGCACGTCCTACAAAGGAGGCAGAAGAGAAACAACTCGGTGCCAGGACTAGCACAGCCTGTGTCAGATCTGCTTGGTCAGAAGTGAACCGAGAGAGATCCCCATCCCCTTCTCACAGCCTAGTACCTCCACTGACAAGTGAGCGCACTAAGGAGTCTAATTGATGGTATTAACAGTGGTTTACAACAAAAACTGCTGTAGAAAATAGCTCGGGTAAATCAAGCCAGCTAAACCCCGCCGTGAAGGAGTTGGGTATTACATATTCAAAGGTCTCCAATACTTTTTGCCTGTCCTGTACAGCTTTTAAAAAAATAGGGCATTACCATTTGTTTCCAATCTACCTAGTTAAGAAACTACAAATGTTGTAAGCTGTCCAAAGTGTAAAACATTAAATAAAATGAAAACCCCGTTTCTAGTCTCCTAACGAACGCTGCAGATAAAAACCCCAAGAAACCCTCGTTATTTGTCATTCTCTCACCTCCTTTTGGGTACCGAGTGGTGATGTTCCTGTTAACAGGGATTAAATTAAACCTACAAGTTCCTACGGCGGTCTAAAGAACTTCTTACAATCGCTCTCTGGAAAACATTCCTTTGTCAGCTAGCAATCAGCACTGCACAAAATCCAGAACTAAATTCAGATGAAAAGGGGAAGTGTCAGGGGTCATTTTGCTTTTTTTTTTTTTTTTTTTTTTGTATCACACACAGATTGCAACGCCCCTGCTTGAAACAGAAGCCAGGACTCCCTCCTGCCACACCAACCTCGTCCTGTGGCTGCTGCTGCTTCAGAGCTGCCGCTGCGGGAGCAGTGCTGCGAGCACATCAGATGCTGATGCACTTCTCACTGCTGCTTCATCCCACGGCCCAGCCGTAGTCCGGACAGACTACCCGAGCAGCAGCTACCACCTTCCCTCCCTCCCAACTCCAAACAGGAAAGGTCACTCTGCAGGGTGTTCTCCCAAAGAAAAAGCAGAGGTAATTTAAAAACTTCTTTTCTTTTTGCCAACAAAGCATCTTGTTCTGTTGAAGGGACAAGGAGGAGGGAATAAAGGTAAAAAGGGTGGGTGAAAGGTGTCATACATTAGCTTTAAAAAACTGTTTAGACCAATTATCCACACATCATCGCTGGATCAATACACAGGTATGCAACTATAAACCAATGTGCTTTGAGTATTTTTCAAGTATCTGGTATCAATTTTGTATAAAGATTTTGCGTAAACAAACTACTGAACAGATGAAAATGACTGCTTCTCCAAGTCGGAAATTAAGCTTAAAACTAAAGTACTCCAGGAGTTAGCACTCCGTACAGCACTAAGTCTGCCAAATTAAAGGTTCGTGTATTCCAGAAGACCATGGGCTGGTAAAAACCTGCTGAGCAGGAATTAAGGAAACAGAAATAGTGTGCAATAATTAAAAACCAGTTTGCAGTTTGGGGGAAAACGTCTAAAATCCTGAATTAAAAAACACAAATGAAGTGAAAGCTTTTAACTGGTACACACTGTTCACACCTATATTTCAAGTTTGGAAACGCATATTTTCAAGCAGCAATACAAAAAAGTATCCATGAAGAATGCATAATCTCTGAAAAAATTATGAAAACATCCCTGCTACCATTACATTTCTAAATACAAAACTGACTACCATATTGTTGCTTCTGTGTAGCGAGAGAAGTTCATTTTCAAAACAGATAAAATTCAGTCTTTAGGTGTGAATGGTATGAATGACAGTCTCTTTTTTTCTTTTTTTTTTTTTTGTTTTAAATTTCTTAGTTGTTTAGGATCCTTAAGCATGCAAGCCTCGGAGAGGAAGGCCCGACGAGGGCAGGGTTGGCTTATGACATCCAGTTTAGGACAGAGCTGGGAAAGCCTCTGGGTCATCTACATCAGGAGCAGAAGCACTCGACTGGAAGAGAAACATCGGAGAGTTATTTTATTACCCTCAGCAGCACCAAGCCCTGCCACATCCTTAGCCCCTCGCCCATCACCATGTCCTGCTGTCAGTGCTGCCCAGCTACCCCGCAGGCACAGCACCTTGTTTTCTTTTTCCTGAGGAGTTTGCCATGGGTATGTTTTTTAATTGAAACTGTCTTTAAGAGACATTGGAGAAATCAAGTGGGCCACGTTTGCACATGATTATAGCACTAGCTTACATGGTGCTTTTTTTTTTTTCCCCCATTCTTCACAAGCCCCCTACAGGAAGCAGCAGCACACAACCATCAGCTCTTACTGATGGACATGACTGAAATGTTACAAACAAGGCCTGTTCACAGCACAGATCCAAGTTTCCCACATTTAACTTTCCTCATTCAGAAGCTGGTTGTTAATAAAAAAAATTGTATCAGTCTATCAGATGGTACCCAGAAATCTCCTCAGTACTTCCCTAGCAGGTTTGTGGTTTTTTTTGTTTGTTTTTTTTTTTTAATTATTGTTGTTCTGTTTTTAAAAGGCTCTGTGCCATGCCTGAAAAAACAGCACTGCAATGAAATGCAAAAAGGAAGCACTGGAGAATCACCTGCACTTTCTGCATGAGAAACGCAGAAAGGAAGAAGAATGGAAAGAGAATAGTGGAAATTTCTGTAAACTTCTACATTTAACAGGACAGAAATTAAACCATCCCGATAAAACCTGTGTCAGCAGCCACAGGTAGGACTAAGTCCCTGCAGAAGCAGCCAGGCCACAGAGCAGAGGGCAGGCCGAGGCAGGCTGCCTGCTGAGGGAGGGGAGCTGCTCCCTGCAGCGGGACGGCCGTGCTCAGGGGTAGGGGAAGCGCCAGCAGAGATCACCAACCTGGTTGGGCGTGTGGATCACGTCAAACTCCTTCACCAACTGGAAGGAAAGGAACACCGTCAGCAGAAAAGTTAGCTGCAGGTCTCAAAGCGCTTAACTACTTCATGACAGCACCCTTGAAGAGGATGCCATGTTAGGGAGACAACTCAGAGCAAAACCCACCCCCGTTTAGCATCAATTCCTTATCATTTTCCTGAACTGATCTTCCTGTGCTGTTATCAGGGGAGATTTTCCAGCTAGTAAATCTAAAAACTTGGAGATGCAGCAAAGAGAAAGCCAGCATCCTGCAAGAGGCTAAAACGAACAAGCCTGGTTTATGTGAAAGAAGTCAGGCCACCCAGCCTGAACTCATTTCCTAGCAGGCAGCAATTTGAGTAACTGCATTTATGGCAAGTAAGTGACCTGCATTTGGGCAGATCGTTCCTACAGCTGTCCTGCAGCCCTTCAGCCTTACACGCTCTCCCCAGGCCCCCTGCAATACTTTTTCTGATCATTTCTTTAGGGCTTTAAGACTACAACTGGAAAAACTCCTGCACACTAGGAAAAATACAGCAAGTCCTACTTCTGCATGAATGCCCCTCATTTCCTCAAATTCAAGGTAGAGCACGCTGCCATAAAACTAGTCGCCTTCACCCTCAAAGGGTCACCGAGTACACGTGGCCCTGAGTGCATCCAAAATCTCCAGCACACCGTGGTTCTGCTCGGGCACCAACAGGAGTGTCTGACAGTGCTCAGACCCACCCACAGCAGAATCATTTTTCAGGTTCAGATCCAGCTTTCCAAGAGGGGCCTTTTTTAGCCCAACCTACTCCCCACTCTCCCCCTTTTTGTGTGTAGGAACGCTGCTAAAACCCTCCTCCTTTTGCCCTAACAGCAAACTATTTTAAAGTCAGCTTGCAAAAAACACAGGTTCTACTTGGTTTTAACGTGCAGCTCATTTCCTGAGCGATTTCCCTAGAAATAAAGACACCCAGGACAGCATGAAATAGCCCCAGTGTCATGTATGCTCCCCTGCAGACGAAGCTGCAGCTACCCACCTTGTCAGTCCTGCCTCCGCGGCTGGCCCTGCCACCACGCCCTCGGCCACCCCGTCCCCCTCGGCCACCGCGTCCGGGGCGGCCAAGGTCTCCAAAGTTGATCTCCAGCTGGGACGTGATGTCGTTGGCGGGCTTACGGAAGTGGTGATCCATTACAGAGTCCTCAGCATGAGCCTGCAACGAGGGGTGTGAGTGAGTGAGAGCAACCACCAAGGAAATGTCTTCATCTGCAGCTGCACTCTCACCAGAGCAGGGCTGCTACAAACTGAGCGGTACCACGAAGCGCACACAGGTCACATTCTCTGAGTTTAAGCACTCCAACAAAGTCATTTCACATTTTCAGGATATTGAGGGAAAGTCTAGAGCTCCTTCACAGGAACAAGGCCAGGCTCACCTGAGACCAAACTGGCTATGGAGCCAAAAAGAACCTGATGTTCTAGCTTTTCACTTCCTTGCACCTCCTATCCTGAGGAATCTTTGGGTTCTGCCAATTCATTTATTTTTAAGTACTCAGCAATCCGTCTTAATTTTGCTCAGCGAGTGGTTTACACTCCATTTGCCTCGCTTTGTGTAAATATTTAAAGCAAGAGAGACCACGAGGACCCCTTACTGTTTGTAGTAGCCACAACAGGCAGTGAGAAGAGGCACCACCACCCTCCAGATAGTGTAACTGGGGTAACCAGCACATTTCTGCTAAACCAGAGAACCAGTCGCACAAATCACGCTGAGAAATGACTCCTGTGACTTGTACCACGATCAAACAGCCTCTCACAGCTCACTGGTTCCCAACGCATGAAGGATGAGGAACCCGAGCCCAAGAGCAAGGTGTGTGCTGACCGGTTCCACCTAACGCCCTGGGTGCAGCTCTGCAGCACAGCCCTGAGCACTTCCCGGCGGTGTGCGCTGAGCACAACAAGCACCAGCTATGTTTATTTCTCCTGCTTTGCACAGGACGATTTCTCCGTCTGATAAGTCAGGTTTTGGCACTACAAAGATAACCAGAAGGCAGAACTGCCCGCACAGGATCAGGCTGGGTTTATCCAGCTGCCTCTTACAAAGCCCACTGCAGCCCAAAGGCTGAAAGCTGCTCTTGGAGACGCCTCGCGTCAGCCCCAAGCACCCCAAAGTCTCTGCCCCCACGGGTTTATTATTTATTAACCCCTTTCCAGGCCCTGCTGTGCCCGTGGCCTCCCCAGCACCCTGCAGAGGAGGGCACAGGGACAGCTCCCACTCCATGCTGCTTCATTTCAAACATATCCCATTGGGGTATTCCAGGTAACTGCTGCTCCCTGGCCAATTCCTGGCCAAAGTCCCTGCAAGGTATTAAGATGGTACTTTCAGCTGTCTGGTAGTTCAATGACTTCCTTCTGAGAGGTGGTATCGTATCAGTGCCTTGGTGCAGCAGTCCTGTGCGTTTCCTTCCCTACACTGCTACTGCATAAAAAATTGACTGCAGTGTATCAAAACATTGTATTTTTACAATTTCACTTGGATTTAACCACTAAACCCAGCAAGCAGCAGATTTTACGTGTAACCTACGGAATTTTTTACCCTGAATAACTCAAGATGATGCAAAACACTAGAAGATGACTTGGCACCTCTTCCTTGTTCTCTTCCCAGTGTTGGGTGGTAACACGCAGTCCCAGACACGCCACAGGACTGCTTATTGTGAATCAGCTTGGGAAGTATTTAATTGGCACGCACTGAGGCTCTCAGTCGTGCTCTGATCTAGTAACTGATAGCTTCCTGAAGGCATCGGGCGCTGCACGTGTGGGTCCCAGGGAAGGCTGTCGAAAATGTTAAGAACAAGCTGCTAACGGGAAGGGAGCCAAAGCAGAGAGATGGAAAACAGCAACAACAAAACGCAAGAGATTCATGACAGAAGCATTTGTGGTAAGGCTGGAATTCAGCTTAGTTAGGAGCAGAGGTACTAATTACGAGGAGTCCTACGTGGTGCATGGTGAGACAACAGGCATGGACAGAAGAGCTTCGTATTTGCTACTTTTGTGACTTCTTTGCATCAAAGACCTTCGTTTGAGAAGGGGCTCAGATCAAAACCCATACTGCCAGTTAGATATAAAGGATCAGTACCTCATTCGACTCCAGCTGACTCCCCTGCATTTCTGTCATCGCCTTTGTCTGATGAAAGTTGCGTGTCCACGCCCAAGTGACAAAAGAACAAGGGGAGAAAACAAAAGGGAGAGATGAGACTCAGCTACACACAGAAACAACAGGTAACAAGGTCGCACGAGCTTGGATACGGGTGGCACCGAGCACACGGGGCAGCAGAAGGATGAGAGCAAGTTGTGCATCCAGAAGGAGCAGAGGATGGACTTGTAGGGGGAGACAGAGACATCTCGGATCAGGAATAAGAAGTTGAATGCAAGCTGCTGGGAGCTCCCCGGGGCACAGAGCTGCAAGAGATGGTGGAGCTGGGGGCTGGCTGTGTTCAGAATAATTCCTGTTAATGGAACAAGGCTTTCTGCACGGCCTGGATTCAAGAGCGACTCCTCTCCGCTTTGAGAGAATGAACTATTTTCCAAAACATGTTTCCCAGCCCTCCATTGTGAGCTCCTCTCTAAGGAAATGATCAGAGCAGCAAGAAAGCCTCAAGTCCCGGAGAAGGAGCCCAGCGCAGCAGATGAACAGAGCAGGAACCGATGTACCACGAGGTGAATTGTTCCAAGGAACTTGCAGCGAACTCTCAACAAGTTTTAAGATCTCATCTCAGTTTGACTCCTTCCCATTTTTTTGTTCAGCTGCATCAGCAGAACAAAATATCGAAGACATTACGCCAGCTGCAGAGAAGGAGAAGGATCTCTTACGACGTGACCCAGCCTTCTAGAAGGAGGCTCAGCACACAAGGGCTGCCAGCACATATGGATTTGAAGTAGACAGCAAGAATCTGAGAGGGTATTAGGAGTTCACTGCACGTAACGTGTCCCTTTCTAGTAATTGCATGGCAAGGGGGAAAGAGAGGGAAGACCCAAGATACAGCTGAGCATTTCAGCCCTCGGTGAGGAACAGGAGGAGGAGGAGGGCAGCTGTTTCACAAGCCTGAGGCAGATGAGCAGCACTAGATGCCCACGTGCTTCCTAGGGCGTTCTCCCAGGAGATCTCAAGCTACAAGAAGAAGGGAGGTTCTTGCAACACTGAACTCCCAATTTCTCAGAAAAATCTGCTGGTACACATTGCGATTACTCAAGTACAGAAGTTTTGGGGCTGAAACCCAGAATTTACCTATAAACCAAGTCACTTGAACGTTTCAACACCCTTCTTATCACTATCACAGAAGCCTTACAACAACCTCACCTCAAGACTCAAAGGGATGTCCAAGAAGACGGAGAGCAAGAGCAGCAGATGATTAGGAGGCTTTGTTCTTAACTCCTCATCATTCCACCCTTTCAAACTCTTCACAAGAGAACTGCAGCGAAAGCTTTCCTAACACCTGTGTTTCAAGAACTGTCCTGCTCTAAAACTCGCAGAAGAACACACGCTGTCTCCCAGGGGATCAGTGAACAATGAATTATTGAAGCGAGCAGAGACGTTTGCTGGATAGAGTCTGGAAGCTTCTAGATTTGAAGGCACTTTTCTTGGTTTCTCACTTCTGTGCTTATACAGCAAGGAACAGTTAACTTAGGCAAGTGTTAAACATACCCAATTCATTCATACCAGAGTAAATTAACTGAATAAACCTCAAAAAGAACCTACTAATTACTGAAGTAATTTGATTACTCCTTCTCCTTATCTATTAACTGATTTATTTTTTGGATGGAGCTTTCCAGCTTTTAACTACCCAAGAACACAACCATCTTCTTACATTTGTACATTTAAGAAAACACTGCGTGCCACTAACTGAACATCACACACATCTGCTCCAGAGACTGGAGCTGGGGGGAATTTCTTGACACTCTCACAGGATTCCAGTTTAATACATCTTGGTAAAGTCAGTGAGAACTTCTGTTCAACTTTATTCTCCTAGTACACAGCAGCACTGAGTCTAGCCCTATTTCAGAGAAAGCAGCGTTTTATGAAGATTTCAAGCACTAAGCAGCTTCAGGAAAATAACAGAACTACTGCACACAGTAGGAAAAGAAAATGGCATGGTTGTGGCAAACTCATTCTGAGTTCAATGAGATCAGAAATGGAGTTCTCATGGAGCAGTGATGAACAGCGCTTCCCATTGCACACCAGGCCCCAGCTTACAAGAAGAAAGTGACAAGGTGTAAACAGCAGAAATACACATCGGAAGACCAAACAGCACATTACACAGTGTTTAGTTACTTCAAAGGGAGTCAAAACCATCTGCTGAACAGAGCCAAAGGCCATCTCAGATATTACAGAGTGTTAAAAGCAGGAGATTAAAAGGTCCTGACAGTTCTGGAACTGAATCCAGCTGCCATCGCCCTGCATTAGGGAACAGAGCTCTCAGCACCTCCCTCCCTCTGAAGTGGGACAGATGTGTCTCTCCTGGGCACGCTCACTATTTAAAAAGGAAATTATACACTTTGTAATGACCAAAATGAGTACGTTTGAGAAACTACAGTGTTAAAGTGATTCTACAGCAACTACGTGCAGTATCGCTGCAGCATACAAACATAATTCACCTGGTGGCTACAGGAACTTCAGAGGCAAATGCCACGGAGTGTTACAGAACCAGAAGCCACAAACTTCAGGCACCGAGGGGGCTGAGGCATGACCAGTATTTCTTCAGTCTTACACAGAGTTTAGCAGGCAGGCAGTCTGCACGCTGAGTAAGGCTAGCAGAACTGGGAACCCTTTTCAAAAAGCGAGAAAATTTAATTGTGGTGAACGAACTTCTGAAGAAATGCTCACCACGGGACAGTCCTTACGACATGACCCAGCAGCACTGCAGTCTCCACTCGGAGAGGTTAGGTTGTAGCACAGCATTTACACATCAGCCTCAGGACACACACCAAACACAAGAACTAACCATTTTAGGAGCAGCTACTGCTGCACAGCCTCAACTTTACGATGAGAAATGTTATTCTCACTTGATAAACTTTCAGCAGCAGGTCAGCCTGTTGGAGCAGAGCTTCCCCTCCAGAAATATGCATCAATAGACAAGCCTAAACAATCTGGACACTAGCAAATATCGAAAATCACTTTACCTCCTCGCTCTTTGACTTGTGAAGAACAAATCCTTTTTTCCATTGCCCATCAGCACCCTCATTTGGTTTACGGATGTTGAACTCAACTTTTGCACGATCCTTACTTTGAATAGCTTTCCATTCGTCCAGGGTCATTTCCTTAGGACCTTCCTCCTTAACTTCTTCAACCTCATTCTCCCTGTGGTAAATTCATGGATACCATGATCATGACTTGGAATTCACACTCCATACACAGAGAATTCAAAAGCAGTTCCTAATCAGCACCAGATTATAATAACCATTTCCGTTGTTATAAAAAAGCATTGAAATGTGTGTATTTATCTAAAACCCAATTCCCCCTCTCTCACTGATGCTGTCTGTTCTCCATATTAATTGCAATTTTCTTTCCAACATGGGAGCCCACCTTCTCCAACAGACTGTAACGAGTTTCTCAACCTTTTCCAAGACCTTCCTCACGTTTCAAGTTGGACAGTGAGATGGAGTTTGTTCTTACCGTAATTCTCAGGATTTTATTTTTAATAATCAGCTTCCTTTATTCAAAGACAGTTATTAACATCCCAGGTAACCAATTTTTACTCTCAGCTAACTTGACAAAGCAAGCGCACACAACTCAGTGACTTGAGATGTATCACCTCATTGTAAATCCTCTCCAGCTCCTGCCAAAGAGCTATTTTTAAGTAAAACACAGCCACCATGTTCAGTAACAGATCGTGTTCCAACTATACAGGCAGTCAATCCTCTCGTCATTCTTCTGTGTGCTTATGCAACTCCATTTGATTTATAAGGTATTTTGACATTACAGAAGGGTAGTGTCACATGTGCAGCACAAACATCACAAAAGCATCAACTTAGAAGAAAAGGTTTTTTCTGCAGCCATTAATTTTGATGTAATAACAAAGGGGTTTTACATCAAAATTATTCTATTTCAGATTTTTCACATTCCACAGAACAGAATCATTTTTTACATGTTACATATTCAAAAGCATGCTTATTGCTCGGTGCAAAGACACTACTCCTTGGTATTCCCCCTATTTTAATCCAGTAAAACATCCCACAGTTCTACTGAAATATTTAAATTAGCGATCCAAAATAGACAAACTGGAAATTAACCCGTGTGAAGATGCTTGTAAATGTAACTGTTGGATTGCTGCAGAAGTGGTATACTTGAAACCACACAGAACACTCATTTTCTGCAGATCTGAGGAAGAAAAAAAAACACCAGAACTTTGCAGATGGCTGATCTGCACAAGGACGGGCTGGGATCTGTTGAAGCACCAGGACACTACTACTAAAGACCCAGAAAATACTGCATACACAGCCAATTTTGTATATCCAGATTTGTAACACAATTTTTTCCAGGACTAGCAAGTTTGTATTTTCTGACCAGTGCTGAAGCTGTAGTTGCTTAAAAATTCTTGGGCTCCTTCTATTTACAAGACAACTTTACCCTTAGACACCCAGAACCTCAGAGAAATGACAGCATTTAGTGATGCAATTAAAAGAAATCACTTAGTCTCTACTGAGCAGTTGTCTCCCCTTTACCACTAACTGAGGAAATCAAGCTACAGATGACTGCACACCAAGAATTGTGGGCAAACAAGTATTTAATATACCCATTTGTCATTTTCTTTTGAATGCACCATAGAACACACATTAAAATACTGCACTTCCCTAAAAACCTGTATACCTTCAAATGAAGTTCAGGTGCCACAACTGACCACTCTGCTTCTCTGAAGTTATTTGATTCACCCAGTCACTGGCTTCTTCTTTAACAGTGTCCAAGTGAAATGAGAAGCAACTTCACTTCCCAGCTGCCCAGAAGCCAGAGAATGGAAGAGTGAGATACATCCCTGCTTCCACAACACCCGCCACACTGTCTCAGCAGTTGTTTTGAAAAGCTACGTTTATAAAGAGTTGCCTTCCACCATAAGAAGAACATCCTATTCTCTCTACTTGGTTGTTCTAAGTAGTTATGAGCATGGTTGCTTTTGGATTTGGTACTTGCAATTGCAATCCTGAGATCCTAAGCACATTACAACTGATTAATAACTAAATCTGAAAGTGACCTAAGAGCTTGTATGACATGAACAGAAACTTCAAGATAACTTCTACAGATGCAGATTATTTTTTTAGGAGACAGGTTTTCAGCTAGATTGTGGTTCTGGCTCTACTGAAGGATATGATCTGAATGTTGTAAAAGCAGAAGTAGGAAAATGATCAGAAGTTAAAGGCAAATCATCGATACCTTTGAAGCAATCAAAGAACATCTGAAAAGAGGCGGCTACTCACTTATTTTCAGAGTCAGCAGGCGGATGTTCCTCTCCCTCTGGCGTTTCCTCAGTTACAGCCGACTGATCCAACTCGCTGTAATTACATTTTTTAAATTTAAAGTTCATCCCTACTTTAAACTATGCAAGATGAATGACTAGGTTCTATAGCACATAGACACAGCCTACTCTTCTTTAAAAATTGCTGCCCTCCCCACCGTTAGAATTCTGTTTTCCATCTTCCCTTGTTTTTCCCCACTGAGAAGCCCCCACTAACAACGTTGTTTTCACTGTAATACTTGGAGAAAAGTATGCTTAACGTGATAAAAAAGCTTTGAAAACTAGACTGTTCTTAGTAAAAGAAGTACAAGACAGCCCCCATTCCAAACTTCAAAAAAAAAATCCCATTTTAGAAGTCAAAGCCATCTCATCCATTGCTAAGTTTGTAATTTTCTGAATTCTGCAAAGGCTTCTTTACTAGTTTACCAACAATTAGCAAAACCAAAGGCAAAAAAGCAGCCTTGGTTTATGTTTTGCAAGGTGTAGCAATTCAGATTTATTAACACAGTGCTAATTCTGAGAAATTAGTGATTACTAACGTTAGCTCATCTTTGACGGTTCCCCAGTTGTGTGATCCACTGCCACCACGCTTGTCCTCATGCTTCAGGCCGCTGAAATGTGAATGTGAAACAGAACTAACAAAACTGAGTTAACATTATAGTGTCCAGATACAGAAATTCAAAGGCAAACTTAAAAACGTAATTATTGTAAAGAACAGCCAAAGAAGCAGTAGAAAAAGACTTACGATCTATCGCTGCCACTATGTCTGTCAAATTCACGCTTGCCACGAGAGTCAAACCCATCTCCTCTGCCCATGCCACGGCCACGGCCACGTCCTCTTCCAAGTCCACCACGTCCACGCATAGGTCGGTCAAGAATGGGTCTAGATGGAACAGGCAAACTGCAGTACTTCACCACCAGGAGTTTATGACACGGCTCTTAAGGTTTTCTTTTTTTCTCTAGTGAGGATTTTATTAACTTCTCATCTGATAATTACTTTTTGTGCTTATGTCAGGACTCTCAACTTCTAAGGAAAAATTGCCTCCCTGCATGGCGTGGGCTCCCTGGGGGCGGTTGGTGCCCCACACCTGGAGGGGTGCAGGAGGTGTTTGGGTGATGGCCTGGGGGTGGGCAGGCAGCTGGGCTGCAGGGTCTTTGGGGGCCCCTTCCAAAGGAACCCATTCTAGGTACAGTCTACTTTCAACACCCAACTATCACACTGACCAAACCCACCTGCAGTCTGCATTGTACAATCTGGAAGAAACACTCTTCTGGGTTACTATTTGCATCTTCTGCCCACTATTCCAACCCATTTTTGTGTCACACCACTAGCTGATGCCACAATTTCCACTCATCTCACGCTCACCCAAATTTAGAAGTATTTTAGCAGTGACTATTACACGACACTTTGAACACCTGAGCCATAGGATGGCTTCATCACTTCCAGATCCGAAGCCACTGCAGCCAAGGTGTGAACACCTACACAGCCAAACTTGCGCTGGCTTGAAGGCAGCTGTATGGATTTAAGCAACAGCCATAAGAGCAAACATCTCAGGCTGCAGGCAAGAGCTACACTTGAGTTCCTCTTCTCCTCTCTGAAATGGATTATGAGAAGTGTGGTGGGTACCCAACTGATTTAAGCCATTTAAACCAACAGAACTGTTCACATTATGTGATTCCTGGTCTAGAACTTGAGCCACGTTTGCCAATAAGGTCATGCAAAAGGAAAGAGAAGTGTTTTGACACAGGCTCTTCTTGTGACTGACAAGTCCAATTCAAAATATTAAATTTTGAGTGAAACAGCGGGGTTTGTTTTTTTTTAAGCTTAGTAGCAGAAGATAGGACAGCCCCGCTCCAGAATATCACCAAGTTCCTCCTCACACAAGAGAAGTTCTTACTTATCAACGGAAAATTCTCCTCCTTCGCCCTTCTCATCAGCAGGTTTATCAAATCGGCGCTCGCGAGGAGGTCGCCGCTCCGGTCTCCTTTCGATGGGCTTGCCTTCTCCCTGCTGCTGCTGCTGCTGTTGCTGCTGCTGGTCAGGCCTCCTGCCAATGCGCCTTATCCCTGAAACATCAGGCAAAACACATCAGCAGAATGCGGAGCTGCTCGGGGAGAGATCCTGGTTGTAGCACTGGGACTGTAAGCAGGAATTCAAGTTTTTCTTCTAGCCCTGTGACCACGCAACCATCGCAACAATACCTTTATAAAAAGGTCACTGCAGACCATTTGACTCTTCTACTCCACGTTTTTAGGCAATCAAGCTGCATTTCGTACGAGTGTACGCTCTTACAGTGCTGCAGAAACCAAGACCTGTCAGAGCACACACACGTTAGTGACCTGTGTTAAGCGGCCAGCTTGCAGAGGGTCGAGACAAGTTCTGGTTTTCCCTGAAGGGTACTTGGGTACTTCTCAGGCAGCCCCTGGGCTTCTCCTCTGGTAGGCACCAAAGGGTCAGCAACTTCACTGCAACTACATCCCCGTGACAGCCACCTTGCTTCATCCTAACGCTGCCCGGAGATATTTGTGGCCAGCAGGAGGACCCAGGCAAGGCACCCTAAGGAGCGGCGAGCCCCCTACAAAAGGGGCTGGTCACTAAGCGGGGCGCTGCCCCACACTGCCCCACGTGCTCCAACACGCTCCCCTGGCTGCACGCTTCTTTTGGGGTGCGAGAGGGCTCTCCCACAGCTTTCTTCTCCACTCGCCTCCTGACAGGCCTGTTCCACAGCTCTTCCTGCAAACACTGCCACTCACTCCTCTCGTTACACTGCCATATTTCCAAAACGTTTAGGGAAGAAAAACCTCCCCAAACCGCCACCCACTCCGGCTGCCTCGAGAAGCGCGAGCTATCTTTTAAATTTTAAAAAAAGCCACTTTTTAATATTCTCCAAGAGAGAAGTTCCTGCCTAACAAGCAATGCCGTGTTGGGTGGGGCCCCAAAAGTTGCAGCTGTAATGATATCCAAGCCAACACACCCAGATGAACAATGTCTTCCTCACCTTACAAGCTGTACTTAGCATGAAGTTTGCATGACATGCGCTGCTTTTAGGGAGCCCTCAGTCCCCGAGAAACACAGGGGGGGGTAAATTTATCCTGAGAAGAGCTCTGGAGCTGAGAGGGACCATTTTATTCGGAGGCACAGGCTAGCAAGGGAAGCCAGCAGGCTGGTGGCAGACAGGAGGCACGCTGCAGAACTGGAATGAACAATCCACAGCTTTCAAATTTCAACCTCAACACCTTGTGCTCACAAAAACCTCCTTCCAGGGGAGCCTCACCAAAGCGAGGGATCTTTTTGTGAGTAGCACAAAACTTTGAACTGGTATCTCACTAGCCAAATCATCTGCACCTCTCCAGAGCAGGGCAGTAGTTTGGACAGAAATATATTCACTCAGAAACAAACCCCGGCACTGCCATGGCACCCAGCACCTTGCCAGATGTGACCACTGTCTCCTACAACAAGCAGAAATTTTCAATCCGGAAAGTGAGTCTTCACTACAGCGCTCCGTACACACTGGTGCAGAAGCAGGTCTGATTTTCTCTGTTTCACTGCTATAATAAGCCCCAAAATGCTATTTTTTTTCCACCGTAATGTAGTGTTTGCTCTTGAAAGTAAACACGAGAGCTGGGAGGTAAATATGAACAACTCGTCCTACCAAAAAAAACCAAGCCCTCGCGTTCTGTTGTGGCGGCCAAAAACACTGCCCATGTTTCAGGCTTGCCTCACGAGGGCTAACGCCATTAATCTGCATCTGACTAACATTTACAGAGGACGCAGGCTTAGTAAATTGCCACTTGGGACAAATTACTGCATTCCTCACGGGAAAAAAGCTCTCGAGTGTCACGCTTTAAAGTACAAAACATCCACAGGCAGCGAGTGCTGCAACACAGCTCCCAACTTCTGCTTGTTGCAGAGCGGTTTGGGGTTTTTTACAGGTATTGCTTTGCACAGGAGCACGTTTTTACGCTGTATTAGAAAAGTTAAGGCGTGGCGGGAGCCGTTTGGCACCATGGGAAGGGCAAAAGCAGGCACCGCGCTTCCACGCAGCCCCACGTTCTGGGCTGGGGGCACTTCTGTGAAGATCAGGGGACTGAAGTGCAGTTAGAAAATCAGCTCCTTGCCTGCACGCTGAGTTTTCCCCAGGCTCTGGCACAGCCCGAGGGCCCCAGCAGCTCGCTGGGCGCCGCGGCCGCGCTGCCCGCCATGGGAGCACGTGGAGGGCCGACACCTCCCGCTTGTCACGCAGCGCCCTGTCACAGCCCTCGCTGCGCCCTGGCTGTATTTATTTACTCTATTTACACTCTGATTGCTTTTTTTTTTACACGGAGCGAAGGCAGAACTCTCTGTCTCACCTGTCCATTGAGGCCTGCTGGCTTCGCAGCTCCGTGTGGGCGCACGGAGCCCACCCCCACCCCCGTGGCCGCACAGCGTTTTGTAGGGGACCTTCTTTAGGGCGTGCTGAGCCCCGTCCCGAGCCGTGCCCCCAGCCCCGAGCCCAGCCCCAGCCCCGGCTCCATTTTGGGCGCCTCGCGGGCGGCCACGTGCGGCGGCCCCGCGGGGCTCCAGGGGCCGGGCCCTGCCCCAGCAGGTGCCGAGAGAGCCCCGCTCCCAGCCCCATTCCCCTAGCGGGGGCCTCCAGCAGGACCCCCACCCCATCCCCCAACCCCCAAACCAACCAAAAATAACAAAAAATAACCCAAAACCCGCGTCCCCTTTGTGCTGGGCCCTCCCCCGTCCCCGCTCACCCTCCTTGCGCAGCGGGGCTCCGGGCTGCCCGCTCCCCTCCTCACGGCGGTCGGCGGCGCCCCCGGCTGAGGCGGCGAAGGGGGGCAGCGGGTTCTTGCGCTCCTTCTGCGACTCCCGGCGGAGCTGCTTGGCCGCGCTGCCGGCTCCCCCGCCGGCTCCCGCCTGGCCCGGGCCTCCGCCGCCGCCTCCCGCCCCGCCGCCCGCGGAGCTGTTCTGGGCCCCGGCCGGGCCCCCGCGGGCCCCGCCGCCCCCTTGGTGGCCTCCGCCTCCGCCGCTCTCTTTCCGCCGCGTCTCGGCCGCCCGCAGCACCTCGAAGGGATCGGACTCGTCATCGAAGAGCTGGTCGAAGCGGTTGGTGACGACGCAGCCGAAGCCCTCCTGCAGGTGTCCGGGCATGATGGGCCCCCGTCGGCGGGATCCTGCTGCGATGCTGCCGGGCCCCCCCCTCCGCGCCCTGCCGCCTGCCGCACAAGATGGCCGGCCCCGAGCAGACGCGCTTCTCTTCCGGCGCCCGGCCGCATCCGGGCACCTCACCCCGCGCGGGGCCGCTCGGGACTTGGAGGCGGCCCGAGCCCGCCGCCGCCCGCGCCCTCCCGAAGGACTACAACTCCCAGCGTGCCCCGCGCCGCCCTTAGATTTTGGGGGGGGGTGTCATGGCGGTGCCCCCCCCCCCCCCCCCCCCCCCTCCGTCCCCAGGGGTCGTCCTCAGGGAGGGCGGTGGGGAGCGGGAGCTGCTGAGGGGGCTCCGCGCGCAGCCCCAGCCCCGTCCCAGCAGCGATTAATTTAGTCAAATTCGAGGCCCTGTCAATAAACAAACCCAAAATCTGGAGTAAAACACCATATTTTTGAACATTTCTGAACGCGCTGTGCCCCACAAGTGCCACAAAGCACCTGGACATGCGGACACTGAGCTGGGAGCCAGGCCCGGCTGCAGCAGAGCGCCATTCCCCATACACCACCCCACCGTCCCGTAGGATTTGTCACTGGAATGGCAGTCCCAGCAGCTCTGTTCTGGTGGTTTTGCAAGGACCGTGCCTATTTCACCTCCGCTTGTTGTACTGGTTCCATATGAAGAGCTCTGCACTCTAGTTTCTTCTAACCACCTAATGAAATCCCACCGTACACAAAGCCAGCTGAGATATATTCAGTATTCCTATTGCTCTGAGGGGAACGTGCCCCAGTCACGGACCAAATGTCACCCTCAGACATGTCCAGGGGGAAAATTGTGCCCAAGGAGCAGCTCCGTGTCCCTACAGCCACCCTGCAACCCCTAAAAATCTTTTGGGACAGGAAGGCCACGGGGGCAGGCGGTGGCATGGGTGCCCTGGGTACCCAAGGCCTCCGTGTGCTGTGATAAACGTGTCATTGAATGCCACTTCAGTGACACTGGTTTAAGAGGTTTGCTGCTATAACCAATAAAACTTGTTGTTTCACAACCTCAAAGATTTACCTCGAGCTTAGAGGTATAATATTTCCGTCTTCCATTAACAATTACGTTCTTCTAATTAGCAGATACAATTAGAAGACAATATCAAGTTGTCAGAAAAACAAGATGGTAAATATTAGCAGTACTAATTAGTCGTTAGTTCTTTTTATACTCAGTGCAAATTATAAACATCCTGAAAATTAAAACATACTTGACACCTCCTTCTAAAATCCTTTTTTCTCTACATATATTTTTTTTCTAAAATACATGTTTTCTATATGTCAGAACCTTGTGGTACCTGATAGTATAATTGTGTTTATCCCCATCAAGGATAATATTTCTAATATCTCTGAGGAAGCCCCCCTTGAAGCTCCGGATCTCTCACATAAGAAGCTCACGCTGTTCTTGGGATATTTTAAGTGATTACCGCAAATTAAATCCTCAGAACTCAATATATTTTCCTCAAGCAAGCCTGTTTGCTTTTGGAATGAATCAAATACCACCAAATGATACGTGCACATAATTAACAGTCAGGGCAGAAGTTTTCTGGAAAAAGCTGGAACCCATTTCAGCATCCTGCTCCGTCACAGGCACCGAGCCTGCGTTGCACCACGTACATTTTATTAATAAAATCCAAGCATTCGCACTCAGAGCCTTGAAGCACTGCTTGCCAGATGGCATGGACGGCTTCATGGTTGTACGATGGCATTTGATTACACAAACGGATTTCTCAGTCACCTGCCCCGTAGGATTTTTCACTCGAATGGCAGTCACAGCAGCTCTGTTTTTTGGTTTTGCAAGGACCGTGCATATTTCACCTCCGCTTGTTGTACTGGTTCCGTACGAAGAGCTCTGCACTCTATCTTCTAACCACCTAATGAAATCCCACCGTAGACAAAGCCAGCCGAGATATATTCAGTATTCCCGAATTTCCCAAGTGAAGCTATGGCCTGATGGCTTTTGAGTCACACCTTGAATCAAGCACACACAAAACAGATTCAAAATGCTTTAATATAAACTGAGAAATAAACCAGCTATCGTGTGTACATGCTCACAGACAGCCAGATGTGTTTATTCCACACAGCAAAAAGCCAAAGTTGAAGGGTGCATGGTAGGAAGCCGCGTGCTTTGTCACACACGGTGCTTGCACGTGGGCATTTGCAATAAAGAGCCCTAATTACCAGCCACACGGGGGCCAGTTTTCAGGTGCTTCGTGTTTGAAAAGCAAATTCATTGATCGGTGTTCCCGGTGATAACTTCTGCCTCTCTGGACAGGGCACACCCAGCGCAGCGCCGCAGAAATCCCAACCCAGATGTTTACGTGGCAGCTCCCTTCTCCGGCCTCTCCTGCTCAGGGACTGCACCTTGAGGTTGTGCATCACCCCCCGGAGAAACACAGAAGTTGTGAAGGCCTCAGGTCCACGTTCACCTGAGGAATTCGGGCTGAAACAGGCAGGAAACGTGTTGGGGTGTGAAGGGCGGCTGGCTGCGTCCCTCAAACACAAAATGAAGGAAGTCTTGGGTCTAACGAGTGGCTGTGAGCTGCAGAACCGACAGGCCGGGCTGCCTACACCTGGGGAGCTCTGGGTGGGCTCCGAGGGCTCGCTGGTATCTCGCAGAGGCCAGAGCGTTGCCCTCCTGCGGGGGCATCAGCTGCGCCCAGCTGCCTGCTGCACAAGGCTGCCGGGATGATAAGGCCTCCCGAAGCGCCGCTGCTCCGTCAAATCTGCTGGGCAGCGGGCTCAAAAGAGACCGGGAGGGGGGCTGAGGCTGGGGTTTGGGCATGCCTTGCTTCCCTAGGAAGCTTGGCCCACACATGTTTTCTCCTGGGCACAGCCAGGGAAAAAAGGAATTGGGGGAAAAGGTGGTTTTCTGCTTGCCTTTTTTTGGGTGGCGCTGCCGCAGATAAGCAGGGCCGGCCTCCAGCGCAGGGCGAGGGGGCAGAACCAGGCAGCTCGGCACAGCCAGCAGCAACCACGGCCAAACCCTCCACACAGCACTTTTTGGAGAAACGGCCCCAGCTCTCCTGCAGGCCACGGGCACAGTTTGCTCACACGTACGGGGACAGGCACATCCCTCCGTGCTCCTGCACACAGCTGGGTGCTGGAGGCTCCTGCCTGGGGGATCGCAGCTCCCCACGTCCTGGTGCTCAGGACAGGGCTGGTGGACACTCAGGACATAGCTGGTGACAAGATTTGGGGCTTTATGATTCTGTCGACATCGGCTGAATGACAAAATTTGCAGCCGGAGGACCATTTGGGCATGCTCAGTGATGCCCAACTGCAATCGATCCTGAAAACCTGAACCACAGACAGCCGTAGCCTGGGAATTAAATAACCAAGGACTATTAACACAGCACTTCTGCTTCTAATCAGGGCTGTAACTTTTATGTTACGGCTTCCAAATCGCCGAAACCCCACTTGGCAGCCTCAGGACGGTCATTTCGTTAGCGCTGTTTGCTGATGCGGTCGTTAGAGGCTGATTGAAGCACTCACAGGCGGCTTCCAAGAGCTGGCATCAACGTCAGGATGGCAGTGCTGGGTTTTTGGGGAGCACAGCCTGATTTTATCCATTATTGCTCAGCCCCAGCACAGAACCAGCGCTCCCAGGGGCTGCGGGTGCTATTTGTGGCCGGGGCAGGCAGCCTGAAGCTGGCCTATAGATAACCCAGCGAGGGAGCTCCTGCCCAAAAGAGGCTCGGCGAGCGGTGTGACACGCTGCACCCAGGCTATTTTCAAGCCTTGCCAGCAGCTGTCGGCTGTCTGCTTATAAAGCAAGAGGAGGAAACGCGGCAAGTTCAGGGCAGGGGGAGATGAACCCGTCTGGGTCTTTGTTCCATCTCAGAGGTGTATTTTTCCTGTTTTTTTTTTTTTGGCTGAAGGACATTTACAAAGCCGTGCTGCTGTTTTTCTCCAGATGCATGCACCACTCCCCGCCAGAGCACACAGCACGCCGAACAGGAGGAGGTTGCTCAGGATCTCTTCGAGGTGGATCTCTTCCCAGGCCATACAAAACGCTCCAGTTTCTTATACAAAAAAAACATGACATTTCCTTCTGAATGAAGTCAGGTACAGCCAGGACTAAAAACAGGACGGAAAACTTCACATACCACGCAATCACGGCACCACAAAGTACCTTCAGCAACTTTCTGCTCATTTTTTTCTGCTTTGTTTTCACCGGGTTTTCGACCTGCTGCATGAAGACACCGAGTGTCCAAAACGCATTGCACAACTCCAGCAGGGACAGCTCGGGGGGTGAAGTGTGACGGATGGCCTGCTGGTGGCAGGTCTTGTGGGTGAAGAGATGGGTGCCGGCGAGTGTGAAATAGCAGAGGGTGGAAGAAAACCAAGCAGCCTACCTGCGTCTAATTTTTTGCAATTAAAAGCACGCCGCGTTAACTCACAGGCACCTGCTGCTGCTGGCTCACCGCGGGGAATACAGCAGGCAGCACGCACACCGAGCACTTTTTACGGAGATGTTTGCATCAATGGATCCGTGGCACAGGGCTTCTGATTGGGATAAAGTCCCAGAATGACACAGCGCTGAGCAGGGCAGCGGGGATGGCCAGGAGGGGTCCGGCAGGGCTCAGGAAAGCTGCACCGCACGAGCAGCACCGCGGCTTTGTCCTCCCGGATATTCTGCTCACTTCAGCACAGCTCTGGGCTTTTTTTTTTTTTTTCAGAGCAGAAAAACCAGCAGAGTCATTACGAGGAGGGCTGTAAACACGCGAATAACAACACCAAGTACGTGCACGGAGGAGTAAAAAAGGCCCATCGAAATGTGCACCGGGCAAGGGAACACACCTGTGCGGACGCAGAGCTTTGACTGCACATTCAGCCAGGCTCTTTCTTCCCTCGAATCCCAAACAACCTGCAAAGAGGGAGTTCCTCCTTAACAGCAGCCAAGGTAAAAGGTATTTTTAGCTCCGAAAACGAGCGCTGCAACAGTCAGAAGCAGAAGGTCAGGGAGCCTGAGCGCTGCTTTTATCAGCCCCCTCTGTGGGGCTCGCTCCTGCCCGCCCATGCTCTGCGCTGCTCAGAAGATGGAAAAGGGGAGAGAAAAACATTTCCTCCGAGATCTGCAGAGCATTGGTGGGGGGGAATTAAAACCCGCAGCAATGGGGCGAGTGGTGCCGTGGGAGCCCAGCCCGAGCACGCAGCAGGCGCAGCACCCACGGTGCCTCTTCCCATGGGTGTCACTGGGGAAAAGAGCAGGGAACGCAGAGGTGCCGCGGCGAAAGGGCCAGCAGCAGTGCTGCGAAGCCCGGGACAAGCCAAAGCAAATCCTGCAGGCTGGCGGGTGGCTGCCCGGGCAGAGAGCTGCTCTTCCCTGCCGGCTGAACCGGCCTCCGCGGCCACGGGCACTTTCCCATTGCCACGGCTGCTGTTCTGCAGGAAAAAAGCAAGCACATTTTTTTATTTTTTATTTTTTTTCAGGGCGCCGCGTTGAGCAGCACCACTTCCAGCCCAGCCCGTCCCGGCTGCGTGCTGGTTGTGGAGCCCACGGCTTCGTGAGGCGTCCCCCTCCCCGTCCCCAGCCTGCCTGCAGCCACCGAGCCTCGCAGCCTCCGGGCTCCAACCTCGCTGCCTCCCCGTCGAGCCCTCTCCGTGGTGCAAAGAGAAGGGACCTGCTGGTTTCGCCATGCCAACATCTCACCTGGCTCATTCCTGGTTGTGCTGGGAGCGCGGCACACCGCAGCCTCCAAAAAATCCCCTCCTTAACAGTGATGGAAAAAGTGCTCCCAGCCCAGCCCCGCAGCTCGCCCTCCCACCACTGAGATTTTTCCTAAAAATCAGCTCAGACTGACTGCGGGACCTTTGCCCCAGCCCAAAACCCCGCCAGCACAAGCCCTGGCACTGCCTGCCACGCGCTGCTCCCTGCGGGGATGAGGACGGCGCACGGGCACGACCCACAGGCCCCCCGTGTGCCCCCCACACCACCCCCAGGCCCCTTTTTGATTAAACCAAACGGTGCACGCAGCATCGGGAGGCCAAGGGAAGCCCTCTGCCATCCCGCGCGGCGCTCCTGGGAAGAAGGCGTTGCACTTGGTGCGTTTCTGGGCGTTTTCCTGCATTTTGCCACTGGCAGACCCGAGTTTCGAGGCCGCCCTCCCAGCCGGAGGAGGAGCGAGGGGAGGACACGCAGTGCGTTCGGGCTGGGGATCAGGGAGCAGAGATGAGCCCTGGGTGCCCGTGCTGGTTCTGGGCACCATGGTGTGTACGTGAAGGCACCGAGAGCCAACAAGGGGAGCCCCAAAACCTGCTGCAGATTCCCCCGCCCGCAGCACGCACCGGGCAGGAGGGGGTGCCCAGGAGCGCCCTGCTCAGCCCCATATCAGGCCGGGGCAATTAGCCCGAGCCATTAGTGCTGGTGCTGTCGCTCACTAATGAGGCTCGAGCTCCCAGGAGGCGAGGAGGGAGCACGCAGAGCATTTCGGGGCGCTGCAAGTGAGCTGCAGCCGGGACACCGGCCCCAGTGAACGTGCCGCTGCTGGGCGCGCTCATCCCGCACGTGCTCCGGCACGCATGCTGCGGCAGCAGGCTCGCCCCGGCGGGGAAATTCGGGGAGAACAAGATCAAACAGCCTGAAAACAGGTCACGGCATCGCCTCTGCTGCAGATGGGCAAGACAAGTACTCATTAGGGTGATTACAGGCGGGGGAACTACCCCGGCTCTCTGCTAATGAGCAGCGTGGGGCTGCCTGACCGGTGCAGCCCAAACAAAGCCCCGGGGCTGTTGTCGCATGTTGGGCTCCGCTGGCAGCTCCCAAGGCTTCCTCCCTGCTCCTGCTCCTCCCTGTCCCCATCACAGGCACCACAGACCCCTGGCCGCAGCGGCCGGGCAGGGAGCTTTCGGGGGCTGAAGCATGCGGGAGGTGCCCCGTGGGGTCGGTCACTGCTGTGGGACCTGCTGCTTGGGGACGCGCTGGTGCCACATGCTGGCACCCGTGTCCCGTGGGGGCAGCGCTGCTGGGCTGGATAAAGCAGCACGGGGGCTGCCGGCTGCGATAAGCACGGTGCCGAGCCCGAGGTCCCGGTTCCCAGCACGGGGTGCCCGCTGCGATAACGGGGCGCGTGTCCCAGGGCTGCAGAGGGCACTGGGGGAACACGGCTCGGCACAGCGCAACCACGAACATCTCCAGAGACAGATTTCGAGGCCTGGAAGAAGAGTTTGGAGGATTCAGGTGGATGGGGTTGGTGCGTCCCTGTCCCCGACGCACGGCAAAGGACACCGGAGTGCCCGCTCTGCAACCCAGGCAGCGCGCACGCGTGCGAGAACAGAGAAAAAAAAAAGAAAAAAGAAAAAAAAAAAAGCATTTGCATTCACCGTGGGCGTGCTGCACACCCAAATCACCGCCCGCGAATTGCTCCGAGTGCCGCTGATGAAAGAGGCGCAGCGCAGGGTGCTAGGAGCAGCCTGGCTGCAGCAGGCGGCTACGTGGGGAACGGCACCCGCGCCCTGCGGGGGGGATGGCCGCGTCCTGCCCACCCCTCGGCACCTGGTTCCTAAAGGGATCTCCTCCTCCTGGGCTTCAGCCGGCCCTCGTTCGGTGCTTAAACCCAGGGCCATTCGCTGCCAGCATCATCCCCATCTCCTGAGCATCCCCCCCATCATTAAATATTAAATATTTAGGGATATTGTTCCGTACCCACGTTGTCCACAGCATTTTGTTGCATATTTCCTATATAATTATCCCATAGATGCCATGTGTGTATGTATCATTTGCACACAGCTGTCAATATATGGATTACACCTCTATAAATCACTTCCACAACAGCTCCCCAGGTGCCCAGCCGGGAGATGGGAAAAGCCAGACCCCAAAATGGGATTCCCATGGAAAAGAGGAGCCCCCAGCCCAGCTCTGGGCTTCCAGCACTGTAGGGCCACGCGGGGGCTCGTCGCAGCCGCTCTTCCCCTGCAAAAATCCTGCAGTTAATTAGCTGCTGGGAGGTGCTGGCAGCTCCCACCAGACGGGAAAATAAAAGCAGCGGGGCCGGCTGCTGCCAGCATCCCGAGTGGGACGGCCGGGGAGGGCTGGGGTTTGGGGAGGCTGCCTGGGGACAAAGGGGGAGCCCGTGGCACCCCGCACCCGGAGCAGCAGCGCTGCCTTTCCTCGCACCAGCATTTTCTTAACCAAATAAAATGCTAATTTTATTAAAAAATAAATAAATAAAGTGCTGCTTTGCTGCTGCTGATATGGGCAGGGGTCCAGGGGCTGCCCCCCAGCCCTGCTCCCAGAGCCCCAACCCCAGCCCCAGGGCAGGGTCCGGCCACCAAGGGGGGCCCGTGGCCGGTGGGAGCCCGGAGGTCCCCAGGGACAAGCGGGGGTCATGGGGGGGTCCTCGGGGGAGATTTGGGAGCGGATGGGGACATTGCTGCAAAACGGGGCCAGCAAGGAGCCAGGAGGAGGGGGAGCTGCAGGGGCAGGGGGCAGCCCGGGGGCAGGGGATGTGGGGTCCGGACGTGGTCAGCTCGGGGCCAAGGCAAACCCTTCAGATGGCATCCCCGCCCGGGGCTGGGGCAGAGGGCAGGCCGGGCAGAGGGATGCTCCCGTGGGTATTTTGCAGATGGGGGTGAGTAACGAGGACTCACTTCCCTCGCTGGGAGCAAACCAGCCTGATTTTCTCGTCCCTGCCTGGTTATTCGGGGTTCTTCACCTGCCGGCCTCGTCCTTCCCTGCAGGCCTGGTGCCGAGCGGCTGCGCACATCCCACCACGGCTGCTCATTAAGTTTTTGGGAATTTTTTAAAAAAAAGACCCCGAACCCACCCCGGCTGCTCGGCGGCTCCCTCCCAGACAGATCGGGAGGCGCTGGAGCCAGCTCGGGGGCTCGGGTTGCCATTAGAGATGGGGCAAATGAAGCGGAGTTAATTGGGAGGCCACCGAACAAAGCTCCCACCTGTTGCGCCGGGGCTTTGCCATCTGCCGCCCCCACCTGAGCGTTTCCCTGGGGTCGGGCAGCGCCGTGGACGTGGGGCACTGGGATCAGCCGGGGACGACCTTCGGGCACCCTCCTGGCGATCCCCAAAGGGGTTTGTTTGGCAGTGCCTGCCCCCAGGGATTTGGGTTTGGAGGCACGGAGCCCTTGCACAAGGAGAGGTGCCCTGAGAGGGTGGTGAGGTGATGGCAGGCAGCGTGCCCCGTGCTCAGCATCACCTGGTGCTGAGCGTATCCCAGAGAGGAGGAAATCCTAAAGCTGAGCATATCCCAAAACTGAGCATATCCCAGAGAGGAGCATATCCTAAAGCTGAGCATATCCCAGAGCTGAGCATCCCTCACTGCTGAGCATATCCTAAAGCTGACCATTGCCCAGAGCTGAGTAACACCCAGAGTTGAGCATATCCTAAAGCTGAGCATATCCCAAAACTGAGCATCCCTCAGTGCTGAGCATCCCCCAGAGCTGAGCATCCCCCAGAGAGGAGCATATCCTAAAGCTGAGCATCCCTCAGTGCTGAGCATATCCCAAAACTGAGCATATCCCAGAGCTGAGCATCCCCCAGAGCTGAGCATATCCCACAGAGGAGCATATCCTAAAGCTGAGCATATCCCAAAGCTGAGCATCCCTCAGTGCTGAGCATATCCCAGAGCTGAGCATATCCTAAATCTGAGAACATCCCAAAACTGAGCATTGCTCAGAGCTGAGCATATCCCAAAGCTGAGCATATCCCAAAGCTGAGTATCACCCAGAGCTGAGCGTATCCCAAAACTGAGCGTATCCCAGAGACGAGCATCCCCCAGAGCTGAGCATCCCTCAGTGTTGAGCATATCCCAAAACTGAGCATATCCCAGAGAGGAGCATCCCCCAAAACTGAGCACATCCCAAAACTGAGCATCCCTTGGTGCTGAGCATCCCCCAGCCATGTGCTGGGGTCACGGGCCCAGCTCCTGAGCCTTATCCAGGCACTGCTTTGAGAAATGGGCGCCCTAGGAGTAAGCAGCAGCAGCAGCAGGAGGAGGAGGAGCAGGGAGAGGATGAGGAGGATGAGGATGAGGAAGGCTCCGGGGAGCCCAGGCCCCGCCGGGACCCAGCAGCCGGGGGGAGCCCGCGGCGCCCTGCCCGGTTTGGCGCGCCGCAAGCCCCGCCCCTTTAATACAAACCCCGCCCCTTTTCCCCAAACCACGCCCCCTTTCTCCCCTCCATCCAATCAGCAGCGGCGCCCCCGCCGGTTCCCGTGGCAGCCTCGCGGGGTGCGCTCGGGGGATAAAAGGCGAGAGGCCGGGAGGGGGAAGAAGGGGGCGTGGTCTCATTTGCATGAGCCAATGGGGATGCAGCATGCAAATGAGGGCGGCGCGGGGCAGGACAACGCCCGCGGGGAGCCTTTGTCCGCACAGGCGGCGGCGGCGCGGGGCTGAGCGGGGCCGGGATCCGGAGCGGGATCCGGATTAACACCGGGATCCGAATCCGGATCCGATATCGGGCCCGGCAGCGGCCCCCGGGGCTGGCGGCGGCGCTGCCCTGCCCTGCTGCCGCACTATGACTCTGGAGGGGCTGCCTGGCGAGCACCGCACGGCCGGCAGGTAGGGAGCGGGAGCGGGGTTTTGGGGGGTCGGGGGGGGTCTCCCGGTGCTCCCCCCGGTGCTCCCCCCCCCCCCAAAACGCCGTGTGCCCGCCCGCAGGATGGAGCAGGCGGGGGACGCGCTGGAGGAGGTGCTGAGCAAGGCGCTGAGCCAGCGGAGCCTCACCCTGGGCGTCTACGAGGCGGCCAAACTGCTCAACGTGTGAGTGCTGCCCCCCGGGGACCCCCCCATTCCCCGGGGACCCCCTCCCCGTGCTCCTGGTGACCCCCCCGGTGACCCCCCCTGGTGCTCCGGTGACCCCCTTCCCCCTGGTAAACCCCCCCTGGTGACCCCCCAATGTTCCCGGTGACCCCTCCCGGTGACCCCATTCCCCCCAGTAAACCCCCCCAGTGACCCCCCCCGGTGACTTCCCCCTGGTAACCCCCCCGGTGACCCCTCCTGGTGACCCCTTTCCCCCCCCCGGTGACCCCCCAGTGCTCCCAGTGACCCCTCCCGGTGACCCCCTTCTCCCCGGTGACCCCCCCGGTGCCCCCGCAGGGACCCGGATAACGTGGTGCTGTGCCTGCTGGCGGCGGACGAGGAGGAAGCGGAGGACGCGGCGCTGCAGATCCACTTCACCCTCATCCAGGCTTTCTGCTGCGAGAACGACATCAACATCCTGCGGGTCAGCAACCCGGCCCGCCTGGCGCAGCTCCTGCTGCCCCACACCGCCACCGAGCCCCCCACCGACCTCCACTGCGTCCTGGTCACGGTGAGGACGAAGCAAAGCCTGGATCCCCGGGACCTTCCCGCTGTTCCCACCCGGATTTAGGGTTTAATTCCCCGTGCCGACCCCTCTTCTCGTTGCAGAACCCCCACGCGTCCCAGTGGAAGGACCCGGCGCTGAGTCAGCTCATGTGCTTCTGCCGGGAGCGGCGCTACGCCGACCAGTGGGTGCCGGTCATCAACCTCCCCGAGCGGTGACGGCGCCGTGCCGGGGTCGGTGGGATGCTTTCCGTGCGTTGGCGCTTAGCTCAGGAAGGAAAAATTCCCCCCTGCCCTCGTGCGAGGGCGCAGCAGGGGAAGGGGAGGGGGGGGGGATAAAGGTTTTAACAAAAAAAAAAAAAAATCATCAAAAAAAAAAAAAAAAGGATTTAAAAACGTCCAGGGGTTGAGCTGCGTGGGATGGAGGACGAGCGACGCGGCCGGGAAGCGAAGGGAAGGAGCCTGGGAGGAGCCGGAGCCTGCCCCAGGAGGGAGGACGCCGCCGAACGCCCCTCGAGGTTCCCAAAAGTGCGACCCGCAGGTTGTGGCTCGGCTCCGCGAGGAGCTCAGCGGTGAATCGGGACGCTTCGCAGCCGATTTTTAGCGTATTTTTGGGATGTTCAGTCTCGAGTTTTTAATGCTAAGATATAGAGTAAGTTATTTTATGATATTGACTTTAAAAAAAAAAAAGTTATTTATACCCTGCGGTCTCGGAAGCAGGCACCCCTGCAGGTCCTGGCCAACGCCACCTCTTAGCAGGAGGCTGCTGAGAGCTGCCCCACTGGCGGTGTTGGAAAGTGGATAATGCTTTGTTCTGGGGTGTTTTTTTCTTCTTTTTTTGTTGTTTTTTGTTTTTTTTTTTTGGAATAAAGTTGACTCTCGGATCCTCTGTGCTGTTCTCTTGCCTTCCTCGGCTCGCTCGGCGGGTCCTGCTCCTGGTGCACGGGGTCCCGGGACGGCACCTGGGCTCCTGCCGCACCCCGCCCCAAACCAGCCACCGAAAAAGCAGCCGGCGCTCTGCAGGAAATGGTAGCTATTTGTCTTCCACCCCGCCACTTAAAAGCATAGTTCGAACACCAGGAAGCGTTTGGGACGCCCTGAAAGCCCCGGGGGGGGGGGTTGAGTCTTCTGGAAAATTGGGGGAACTCGGCTCCTTTCTGCAGGAACCCTTCACTGCAGCACGCCCCGCCAGCTGCGCCCCTTTCTTCCCTGCTGGCTTCGTTCCCCGAAGCCTCTCCACAACCAGGCAGGGCCCCGCCAGCAGCTGCTTTCCTTCTTCTTGTCGCACACCACACAAAGCCGAGCTCCGCGGGGCAGAAATCCCCAATCCTGGCCCCAAAGGAGCCGGGCAGCTGGCGGCACCGTGCCGGCACAGCAGCGCCCACGCTCTGCCCCAGGCCAAGGTGGGAGGCTCCGGGGACACCGCTGACCTACATCCTGCCTGCCGAGATGCCCTGCTTTCTGCAGCCCTGGCTCGACCCTACAGTATTTTTTCAGTATTTTTTCATTATTTTCTCCCTGATCCAGGCACTGGGGACAGCTCGGGTTGTGCTGGGGCACCGAGCGGGAGCTTTCTGAGCTCGTTGTTGTTTTTTTTTTAGCTTTGTTTTTACAGCACGTGGCCGGCGTCAGCACTTCTAAAGCCAACGTGAGCCCGGGCTGCCCCCCGCGTGTGCACAGCCCCCTCCCGGTGTGTGGTGCTTGGGAAGCACAAATTTGGGAAGGGGGGAAAGGCTGAAGGTGGGGCCGCAGCTGGCGGTACAGCACCAGGCCTTCCCTTCAGGACAAGCCGGGGCTGCTGCTTGGGGCCAGCCCCGTAGCAGGGGGTGGTTCAGGCCCTGCTTCCATAAACCCAGTAACAGACAGCTCCTGAAAGCTTCCCCCCCATATATATACATATTTATATGTATTTATGGACACAAACACGAGTAAAACTCAAGGCTTTTTGCTCCCAAAGAGCCTCCTTTTCTAGGCCTGTAACAAACATCGGGCCTTTGCCTCCAAACCAAAGTGCCTCGACGAGAAATACAGAGGAAAACAAAGCCACCTGAGAGGCTGTTTAGTCTGTGGGGCAGGACACCAGCACACACCTGGGGTGGCAGTGAGGCCTCCTGGCATCAGGGCCTGGAGGTGGGAGCACCCAGAGGCAGGGCCCTGCCCCATCCTGCCCCGCCAGAACCTCCTCCAGCTGCTGCCCATGGCGCTGGTTTCGTTTCTCCTTTTTAGTTTTCCTGATTACGAGTCCGTGATTCTTCAGAGCCGTACAACTCCTGTTGTTTCATGGAGTATTTATAGCAAAGGAGCAAAGTTACAAGCGGAGACGGGTGTGCGGCCACACCCCCCCCGTATAGCACAGGTACAAGCACAGAAAGTACCTGAGCAGCCATAAAGAACACTGCCAGAAGCTGCTGGGCGAGCTGACACCCTCAGGTGGGCTGCCTGAACTGAGAAGCACCTGGAGGAAAACCTGCAGGGTTCCTAATCCCACATCTCTGACCACACCATCTTGCAACGTGGAAGCAAGAACGAAGGAGATACTGGGATAAATCTTCGCCCCAGAGCTGCAAAGAGTTCAAAACTGTACAAAAAAGGAGAAAAATGCACCTTATAGGGAACAGGTCTGTAGGACACGATGGATTTCCCATAGGCAGAGGCACCCCCGGCCAGCAGCCCCCGGGAAATGCTGGGGATCCGTGTGCGAGCAGTAACGGAGCCAAGGGCAGCGCCGTGCCAAACGGCTTTTTTAGAAAGTACAGCGGGGGGACGTGGCTCAAGGGAACAGTACAGGGAAAAAGCACGGCGTTGAAGTCATCCTTGTGTCCACACAGCTCCAACACCCTGTGGATTGCTGTGGGCAGGAGGCTCACAGGGTACCCCCGAGCTGCTCAGGCTCCCTGGTGCCCCTGGCCCTTTCCACCCACCCGCAGCCAAGGGCTGTTCTTACCCAGGTGCCTTATAAAATGAGAGTAAAAAAAACTCAGCGTGGATCTACGTTACTGTTGTGAAATTGTCGCTAGAAAAATAGTTGTAAAAATAATTTGAAGGTGAGCAGAGAATGAGCAGTACGGCTCCCTCACTGCCAGCCCCGCGTTCGGATTGAGAGCTGTGGGTTAAAGAGGCTCGTTAAACAAAGACATCATTTCTCAATATATTATCAACAGTGCGTATATAATTTAATATAGAAATGACAAATAGGCAATGTAAGACAGTAAATTACAAGTGGTTAATACGTTCTGTAGACGTGGTTACAGAAATGCACGGTTATGGCAGATCAGGACTTCAGCCTCCCAACCACCGGCTACAGGGAAAGGCAAAGAACATCGGGAGCCTGCTGAAGTCGGGATTATTGCAAATCCCCTCGAAGTTTTCTGTTAATATGCAATGTTTGTATAAATATTCTATTAAAGTTTATACACACACACACACAAGGAGGTTTTTATTATGTATATATATAAAATCACGTACTTGATGGAAAGGCTCCCCAATTATATTTGCATAACCACAATCTGGAGACAATTTGGCATTTTTTTCCCCTCTAAAAAGGAATTTAAAAGAGAGCCAAATTCTGAATCCCTGTACAAAACATGGACGAGGCTTGGAGTGACAGAACCATACCTGTACCTCAGCCACAAAGCCAGGGAAACGTCAGCTTGCAGCCTTTGATTCTTTCGACAACTTTTTTTAATACCAACAAGAGGTTTAATTAGAGAAAGCAGAAAAGCAGAATCGAGCAGAACTGAAGCTGAGAACTCTGCTTTTTCACCTCCTCTTGAGGAGCTACGAAAAACCCCTCAGATACCTGACTCCTGGCACTCCAGGTTTCACACTTACAGACCCAACGAGAGAAAGAGGCATAACAGAGATGTAGGCATGAGTCGCTGGAGCTCGCCAGCAGTTGCTACAATGGTTTTCAAGGCAGCTGTTGCTAAATAATGCACTTGGACGTGTGCATGTGCACGAGGGCACGGCTGTGCGCTCCCCAGGCAGGCATCGCCGCCCGCCCTGCGTGCACGCGCGGTCTAAAAAACTGAAACAAACGATGGTTAATTGGGATTCCCAATCCGTCCCTGTTCTGTCGGCAAAGCCAGGCAACTTTGGTGGTGTTTGTGGATCTCGGGAGCGGGGCCGGGGCAGAGCAGCTCCCCGGGCACATGGGCGGCTCTCACGGCGCAGCCAGCCCCGCGCCCGCCAGCCCAGAGGGCGATTAATTCTGTTTGAGACCTGCTTCCTAATGAAGACCGGGAAGAGAGGAAATGCTTTAGAAAGCTTAAGAAATCATTTATACACGTGGAAAAAGAGTTACTAGCAGGTACCTTACGGGTTATTTGTCTATACACCTGCCTGCGCCTCGCCCCGCGTCGCAGAGCGGCGGTAGCGCGGGCGCTCCTATAACAACACGCACGTCTTCTTGTCCTTGAAGGGGTTCTCAGAGGCAGGTATGCCCATTAGCAACGGATCTTTCTTGGCATGTTCTTCGCAATAGAGCATTAGGTCTGCCGACGCCTTTGACACCTGCGGAAGACAGAAAAAAAAAACATGAAATGGCCACGGATTTCCCCGCAATTAGCAAGGCGAGCTGCCCGCTGGGGAAAAGCCCTGTGCACGAACAGATTGATGCTGGGCAGTCAACACGTTGTTTGGGCCCAGACCCTGTTTCCTGCGAAAGGCAGACTGTCCTGGGTGTCACGCTGGGGCCAGCTTTATCTGCAGGGAGAAGAAGATGGATCCCGGTGCCATGCTCCTCCTGGGGCTGGTTTGCGGCAGCAGGTGAAAGTGCTGCTCGGCTTTTACGCAGCTCCTGCTGAAAACCATAAATAAACAGGAGGGGTTCGAAATATCCAGCAGCTTTGTAATAAGGAACTTATCACCTGTAAAGCTGGGGAGAACAAACAGAGGTGTCCTGAGATGACTAACACTTTCTACAATGCTGCACGCGGTCCCTCCTTGCGTAACGCCGCCCCGCAGCCAGCATGGACACGGCACCTTTGCTGCGTGCACCCGGGGCTCTGTGCTGCTGGCCTCCACGAGGGGCTGGGCAATAATTCGAGAAGCCAAACAGACAACATCTGTCCAGGCAATGTTAGCAACGTGCCCAGTATCCCATCCCTTCCAGCTGGGAAAAGAGTCGGGCTTCTTTTGTGCCTTGAGTTCCAGAAAAGCCGTTTCAGTGACCTTCCTTTCAGTCACACAAAGGTGCAGATGCAACTTGCAGCCATTGGAAGGATGTAGCAAAATCCCACAAGGAACACAACACATCAAACTGCAAGCTTACACCTGGTTTTTGTTGTTTTAGTTTTATTTTTTTCACTTTTGACCTGCATTCACGTTTTGCTTTGGTCCATTTTGCAAGCCCAGGAAACACCGAAGTACTCGAGGCCACCTCTCAGAGCGGCCCCAAGACTGGGCTGTGCTCAGGTTTCCTGGGCTGCAGCACAAAGGTCAAGCTCCAAATGGGGAAAAAATACAACAAACAGCGTGCCCCCACGCACAGCGTGCCCCTTACCACACCGAGGGCAAAACAGGAGGAAAGGAGGGGTGAAGCAGGACAGGCTCCCACCTTTATCCGCTCTATCGAGGCTTCTATTCTCAGCTGCTGGACGGTCCTGCGGGCCTGAGCGATGTTGTTGGTGGTGCTCGCCGTTTTGCCAGACATCTTCAGGGATCCGGAGGTGCTCTGTTGGAAAGACAGCGGGTTATTTTCCCAGGAGCTGGCCCAGCGCTTTGCGCCCCGACGAAGAGGCAACAGCAACACACTGAAAAAAGTGTTTTTTGTTTTTTTTTTTTCTTATTTTACACGACAGGAGCTGCCAGCTGAGTGTCAGCTAGCTAAATCCCCAGGAAAACTGCATGGAGCCCCCCTGTAGGGCGCTGCCACCGCCACCCCAGCGGGTCCCCGTGCAGCATCTCCCCCAGCCTTAGCAGGAGGATGTCACAGCAGGAGGAAGGGCAGAGGCTCCCCTGCCCTGCCCCATCTGCCTGTTCCAGGCCTGCAGCAGCTTTGTGACACAGCCGAGGGGAAAAAAAAAAAACACGCACACACAGAACAACAGGCAAAGTTCACAGAAACACTGCCAGCTGCCGTCTGCTCCCATATGGCCATGCAGGCAAAAAAAAAATAAAAGAGCAGCCCTGGGACTTTCCTGCTCTGGGTAAGAAGGCAAAGCACCGGCCTGGTGTCCTCCGCGGCTCTGAGATAACAGCAGAGCAGCCCCAGCTGCTGCCCCGAGACCCCGAGAGCCCCTTGCAGCCCAAGCCCAGGGGTTCCCAAAGCAGGAACCAAAGCCCCCCGGCAGGCAGCTTGCACCCGGGGCTCAGCCAAGCAGGCAAGAAGCAGGTTATCCACCAAAAAGAGAGTGTGGGGAGGCCGTGACAGCACCGGCTGACTTGGAGAAAACAACTTCGTATCCATTAAAGACATCTTTAAATGATTAACTAGGCTGGGATGATTAACTTTGGGCTAAGCAGCTCGTGGTGCGGCACCGAGGGCCGTACCAACAGGTATTTCACGCTTCGCGGCTCCCAGCTGCCTCGTGCAGCCCCGTGCAGCCCCCGGGGAGCCTCCAGCAGGGCACGGGGCAGCTTCTGAGCCCCCCCGAGCCCGGGCTGGGAGCAGCTGTGCTGGCAGGATGCGGGAGGGCTGCCTGCACGGCGCTGCCCTGGCTCACGGTGATTGCAAGGTGCAAGGGATGCCTCCTGCTCACACGCAGGCTGGGGGGCCAGCAATCACTGGTGCTGGGATTACAACCCTATATGACAATCCTGTGTCCCTAAACAAGCAGTAAAACACTTTTCATGCATCTCCCTGATCCTCGTGGCCTCCTGTGCTGCTGGCTGCTTTCCTGCTGCGTGCAGCCGGGAGGAGGCAGGCGCGGAGCAGAACCGGTTCAAACGCCGCACGCACGCCGAGTGCCAACCCCGGGGTAAGCGGGGGAAGTGCTTTTTTTTTTTTTTTTTAAGTTCAGAGTCTTTAAACGTGTGCCAGTTCAAAGATCACGGCGCCAAGCAAGTGCTCGGCAGCAGACGAGGCGCTAGGTGGCTGCAGGAAGGCGCTGCGCTTGCAGCACGAACCCTGACCCTGTGGGTCAACACCCACATTTTGGCTGCCCCTCTCCCCATGAACCCTTCGCTCCCCAAAGCAAAAGCAGGGGAAGAGGAGCAGGAGGCTCCTTGCAGCGCTCAGCCTGCGGGGCGGCAGCACCAGGAGGTGCAGCAGGAGCCCTGCTCAGCACCCTGCAGGCTGAGAGCTGCTGCTGGGGCCGGGACGTGGCCGTGCTGGCAGCGCGCTGCGCACCGCGAGCAGCCCTGGGCGCAGGCAGCGAGCATCAAGGAGCATCAACGCCGCCCGCCGAGCAGGAGGCAGGCAGGCAGGGCTGTCTGCACGGCAGCAGCTCGCCCTGCAGCGCTGCAAGCCTGCTCCAGCCCGCATGGGAGGCAGGAGGCGAGGCAGCCACGCCGTGAGTCAGCCAGCGCCGGGGTGGGGATGGCGCCGCGAGCAGCTCCGGCCGGGGGGCAAAGTCCGGCTGTGCCTCCGGGATGCAGGGGGGACGTGTGGTGTCCCAAAGCTGTGCACACACCACCAGCAGGTCACGGTTACAGCCAGCTACGCCCTACACAGCGCCGTGCTGCTGCCAGGACCGTGCCCAGCACGGGGATGTGGTCCCCAGCGAGCACCGTGCGTGCTGGATCACCAGCGCTGCGTCGCCCCAGCAAGGCACGGCGCTGGGTGATCCAGGCTGCAGGAGGAGAGAAGCTGAGTGACACACACCTCGGTGTGGGACAGTCACAGCCCTGCTCACCCAGGTTCATCTCCAGGTGCTTCGCCTTCCTGCTGGGAAAGGGGACGGCGCTGGGCCCGTCTGCCACTGGGAAGGGGAGGGAGGGGCACGCTGGACGCGTTCCACCTTACCTGTCAAATGCAATCCAAGTGAAAACGCTCCCAGGAATTCGAGGCAAAAGCCACGGCACATTAACCTGGAGACCTGTGAGTAACACGCAAGAGCCTTTTCCAACTGCGGTGGGTGACGGGCAGCCCAGCCAGGCGGGCTGATGCAGCAGCGCGCAACGCAGGAGCACGCCGGGGGTCAGCGCACACACAAAGCACAGCAGAGCTTTGTGAATTTGGGGGAGAGACCCTGGCCGTGAGGAGTGCTGGCAGGGAGAGGGGTGCTGAGCTCCTTCCCCCCGGGAGCAAGGGGAAGAGGCAGGAGCAGCACAAGGCACGGGGCTGTTCCTCTGGGCAGGTCCCGCTGCTGCCTCGTGGCCCCAGCTGGTTTCTTTCCCGAGCAGTGCCCACCTGGCACTTCAGTTGTAAAAACACGGGGTTAAAACCTGCTACCACAGACCTAAAAGCCAGGACTAAAAGCTCCTGTTTTGCTGGCAGCTGTAGGGTTTGTGCCGCCCCTGCTCCCCGCGCCCCCAGCACAGAGCCTCCGCCACCGAGTGCCCCCTCCCTGAAGGAACGGCCTCGTTACCAAAGCTGCCGTGCTTATTTTCCCGGCTGCATTACCAAATGAGACGTTTCAAAACCATGTAACATTAGAAAATCAGCGTGCTGCATCTCCTCCTCGCGCAAACAGAAGCTGCGTTGCCCTGATGGCCCTCCTAGGGTTACCGAACCCCTCCTGCGGAGATCTTCCAACAACTGGGTCAGCTCCGTGCTGCTTCCCGAGCCCTCAGCACACCGGGCAGCTTTGATTTGATTTGATTTGATCCCCTTACTGCTCCTGGGGAAGGAAAACAGCTTTTAAGCCGGGTAACCCAAAACTGCAGGTCAGCGAGGCAGATTAAACCTCCCCCGGAGGGGCTGTGATAAGAAGGGCGGCGTGCAGGGGCGCACGAGGTGCTCACAGCCCTCCTGCGGCCAGCCACGGGCATCAGCCCTGCACGGTGGGGTTCTGCCCGTGGGTGCTTTGGAGGCTTTTCTGCAAGCTGGAGCCGGGTGCCTCTCGCACATCCCCACCAAGGCAAGGATTCCACCAGCCCCAGCTGCTTACAGAGCCACCCCACAGCCCTCTGCGGGGACCTTACCCCCACACCGCCCTCCCGGGTGCCCTCTCAGTAAGAACACACCAGGAAAACCCACATCCAGCCACCCCTCTCCTCTTACCTCCCCAGTGCTAACGGGAATAAAAGGCCAGAGCTCGCTCCTACCTCCATGCTCAGCAATTTTTCTCGCCCCTCTCCAGCCCCGGGAGGCTCGCAGACCGCGTGCCCTGCGGCACAGCCCGCGGTGCTGAGGGCTCACGGCTGCTCCAGCACGTGCTGTGTGCTTGTGCATTTCACGGCCTTGTTTTTTTTTAATTTTCAAGTCCTTGAGGGAAGAACCTCTTGAGGGAAGAACCCCTGGTGTGACTGCCAGCCAAATCGCTTGCTGCTGTGCGTTCAAGCACGCCTGGAGGAGCACAGCACGGCTTGCATCAAGAGCTGGAAGCCAGGACGGGCACCAAGCGTGGTGCACAACGTGGTGAGGAGGAAGAGGAAGGAGAACAGCTTCCTCCATCTCTCAGCCTGCTGACACCTTCAGCATTTCCCTGCCTGCCTCCTGGGCAGCGCTGCTCATCCCATCCACAGCTCCAGAGGCCACGCTATGAAAGCCCCCCATGGTGGGGACCCCGCTGTCCTGGGTGCAGCCCTAAATAGAGAGCACCCGAAGGAGGGGAGGTGTCCAGCCCTCCTCCAGCTCGGCAGGGGGACAGCACCTTCAGCACCCTGCCCCTGGGGCTGCCCGAGGGACAGACAGAGGGACGGACGGACACAGAGGCGCCCAGCCCTGCGCGGGGCCGCACTGACACCCAGTGGAAAGCAGGGCGAGACGCCTGGCGGAGGGGAGGGCAGCTGCTGAGCCTCCTCCTTCTGCCAGACACAGTGGGGAAACAGCTCCAGGTGAGTGGGAACACAGCTGAACCCTGCCCTCTGCAAACAGCAGCGAAAGGAGCAAAACCCAGCATGGACTGGAGATGGTTTCTAAACCCTCTGCCTGCATGGAGAGGGCTCGGGGACATTTGTGCACGGTGCTGCCCTAAGCATGGCTCCCTTGGTGCAAGCCCTGGGGTCTTGCACCAAGCCCTGCTCCTCTTCCCCTGCTTTTGCTTTGGGGAGCGAGGGGCTCGTGGGGAGAGGGGCAGCCAAAATACGGAGGCAGGGCAGAGATGCAGGAGAGCAGAGCGGTGTCAGGGGGACTGGCACGCCTCCATCCTGCTCTGTTTGGATTATGGCACATATCAGCATATTTCTAAATCGCTTTTTTAACAAGAAATGCACAGCAGCGACAAACTCTCCTTTCACCTGCAGCTCTTTCTAAAATGCTATAAAAATCCCCAATAATCCGCAATGAAAAAGAGACAGCTGCCAAGATCTTCACACGGATGTGGCCAACTGGGCTCTCCGTTCAGGACTCGTTCCCTCTCCAGCTGCGTTCCACCAGTTAGCCCAGTACAGCCCTGACTGAGGCTGGGCTCCAGCTACGCTGGATTTCAAAGCCAGCCTCCCAGCACGTGATTCTGACAAGCCCAATTTACTTCTTGGGAAAGGAGCAGTGGAAAAACCTGCTTTCATTTCCCTCTGTGTTTTTACTGCCTGGGCTTTTTATGTCTTCAGTGTAAATTAAAGCCATGAAAACTCACTTCCAGCTCCAGGTTACCTTGAAAAACATCTGAGGATGAATGTTTTCAAGACATCAGCCTGATGCCCTGAGGAAAGGCACCCTGCTCCCTGCCAAACGGGGGCGCAGCTTCCCCCGGGATGGGAGCTGCTCCTCCCCGCGCAGCGCTGCAACGCTTGTGCACAACAGAAAAAGACAAAACCCAACTACAGAAACGTGCAGAGAGACGTGGGCTGTACCAAAAGCAGCTGGTCTTACGGCATGTAAAGCAGGAACGGCCCGCGGTCAGAGCTCCAGACGGGGAGGGAGTCACGAGATGCAGCCTGGCCGCAGGTTTACGTGACCTTGAGCGAATTCTTCAGGCTGAAAGAGAGATAAAGGAGAGCTGGGTGGGAGATGCTCTGCGGAGAGCTCCAAGGCTCCCGGGTCAAAGCCACTAAAGGGGTGCACGGCAGCACGCGAGGTGCTTGGCTGCAGGATATCCGAGTGTTTCCTTTGAGAAAAGGGAGAATTAGGAGGAAATTAGCAGGAAAGCGATAATTAGGAACGCACTGCAACAAGCACCGAGGTTTTGGAGGGCTCCATGCCACCCCTGGCTAACTGACGCAGCCCTCTGCAAAGAGCCTGAGCGTTTTGTGATGGTTCTGCTCCAGAATCAAATGAAATCACAGGGGTTTGGGCCTTGCTGTGCTGCTTGGTGTTCTGCAATGAAGAAAGGAGCGAGCTGGACACTCACCTACATAGGCAGCCCCGGCGCTTGTCCGCCTGGCTTGGATTTTATTTGTGCAGCGAGCCTGAAACAGAGAAAAACAACTGTAAGGAGTGCAGGAAAGCCAAGGCAAAGAGGAACGAGCACCTGGGGTTTATTTCTAGTCGCAAGGATGGCAGCATTTTGCCTCGGCTCTGCTCTCGACTCTGCGACCCCGGGGGCGTGCAGCACACCTTCAGGCTGTGCAGCCAGCAGGAGGCCTCTGGCCCTGGCTGTAATGGGCACGTTCCCCTTCCCTGGCATTTACAATGCAAATTTATACAGCCCTGCATCCCTGCAGAGCCCGCACCGTGCCAGCCGCTGACCACCCGCCCCCGCTGCCTTCAGGCTGAGGAAGAAGCCGGGACACCAATAACTCATTAACCAGGGCCTGGCAGGAGCCAGGATCACCACTGACAGCATCCACAGGGAGGCTGCCCAGCTGCAGGGCAGGCTTCCAGAGCTGCCTTCTGCCCATCCCAGCTGGAGCAGAGACCCCAACACCCGAGCCCTTTGTGTTGAACCTACCACCTTTCCATCGTGCTCGCTCAACTCCCCTCTGCAGCGCTGAGACCAACACCTCAACACCTTTCCCGGTGGCTTAACTCAGGGATTCTCTTCTCATTATTTGATTCAGAAATCAATGCCCTCTGGGCTTCTGCATCACCGGTACCTGGCTCTAAATCCACGCTTAGTGTTGGTTCACGTGCCCCTCGGGCACGGCCGGCAGCAGCGCTGTGCCCACGGAGGTTCAGGCCAGCCGAAGGGAGAGATTTTCTTCTGGAAGTACACCGGCTGCTCACTGAGGTGATTGATGGCCTTGCAAAGAGCCTTTTCCTCTTTTATTAGCTTAAAAGGCACACGCAGACACACCAAACTCCTCAGACGTGCAGATTGCACCACGATTGGGGAAGCTGAAGCACAGAGAGCTGAGAGGGCAGGACAGAAACCCAAACACGTCCCAGCAGGGACAGGCGGCTCAGGAGCGGGCCTGCTGCAGCCAGACTTCCCACCTTATAACCAATTTGAAACAAGCTTTAAACAACTAAAATCGCTTTGTTTCTGTCCAATACCCCCGTGTAATAACGCACACGGTCGGTGCTGTGAAAGCTTTGCAGCTTTACGGGGACGCAAAGCACAGAAAAGCAGCAGAAGCGCTGCAGTAACCATGGGCCGAGGGGTTTCTTCCTTACCTCGAGGCTCTGTGCTTTAGAAACGCTGCAGGCACTGGGGCCACCAACCCTGCTGCTCCTGGGGCTGTTCGGGAGATGCCTGGAGGCAGGAGATGCCGGGGGAGGTTCGGGGCTGTGCGGCGCGGTGGTGCTGCAGCAGACACACCTGGACAGCCCAAATCCCTCCCAGCTCTTACACCCTTCCTTGGGGCTGGAGCCGCTGCCCGGGAGGCTTTTCCAAGCCACGCAGGGCCGCCGCAGCAGGTCCTGCTCTGCAAGCCAGACTCCAACAACAGGTTCCCCAATCCCCTGCCCACACCTTCCCTTCCGAACGACACCCACTGCTTCCGAGGAGAACGCCCTGCTCACACCCTGCCCGCCCTGCTCCGAAATCCCCAGCGTGGAGCCAGCCCTGGGCCCATGTGCACGAGGCTGGGGACGGTGCCATGGGCTGGGGACGGTGCCACATGCTGGGGCTGGGGTCCAGCCCCTGACCAATGCTTACCTGGAAGCTCTGCTTGCACAGGGGTATGCTGGAGGAGACAGGACAGGCAAGGCAGTAAATGGGGTTTAGTGGCATTACCCACACCCTGCTGATTTATTCGGCAGGCAACCATCTGAATCTGTCCTCTCGCAGCCTGCCACACTACCCATTTGTCCATATTTAACACCAAACGCTGCTAACCCCTACTTTTACCTGCCTCCAGAGAACCCCGCAGAGAATTCTAGCATAGCTTTGAGGACTTCTGTCACTCCTTCTGCTCCTTCTGCTCCTTCTCATTAATCCTTAGAGAACACAGAGTAAAAATCCTTTGCTCATGCCTTCAGGATTTGCTCTTCTCCCTCCCTCCTATAACCCTCAACAGATTTCAGAGGAGAGCACCGTGGCAAACGCAGCGTTGGTGCTCGGGAACCAAAAACTCTCAGCGTGTGCAAGCACAAAACGCGGAGCCCAGCTGCACGATTCCAGCAGTGATTAACTCCGGGCAAATCCCGAGAGCCACCCAACATCTGCAGCTGCAGTTTCCCAAGAACCGGCAAGCCCACAGCGACTTCCCAGATCGGGGGAGCTCGCCTGCTGCTTTCGTTCCAGCCAGTGAAAGTTTTACTACCGATTCCTATCTCGGACGAGATAAGGGATTTTCTGTGCTGGAACACGAGCCCCGAGAGCCCCGCTCCTTGCTGGGAGACAACCTATTTGCAGCAATACAAGCCTTCGAAGCACGCTGCTAAATAATCTGGCCAATATTATCGGGGCAAGCTTCAGAAACCCCTCGTTCTGCCCCTGGGAGCATGGCTCACGCCGAGATCTTTGCCCTGGTGGGGGGACGAAGCGATGCAGCCCACGGTGGGGATTTACAGGGCTGCCCCGCGGGCCCCTGGAGAGGTCTGAACTTGCTTTTGCAGTGAGCTTCGTCACCAGACGATGAGTTCGGGAGGAAAACTCGCTCCCACCCGGAAGGGCCGTGGCGCTCGCCGTGTCCCCGGCGGGCTGAGGGCCTCGGGAACACCCGGAGGTATTGTGGAGCCCGCGTCGCCCACGTCGCTGTGTAGGAACTCCTCGTGAGCTGGGCTCAAGTATGCCGAGTATTTGGAGGCAGGCAGCCTACGAAATGGACTTCGAGCGTTCATAAAGGAGTTGTTACGTAGCCACGGGGAGAGATCGGAAACGGCAGCGGTGTCTGAAACGCGGTGGCTGTGCTAAAACAGTGCTGGTGAGGGGTCAGGATGCTGGTGGTGATGCCGATCAGCAGCGACTGCTGTCTGGGGGCCCTCGATGTCTTCGTTACAGCATTAATGAGTACTTTGTTAGCACGCAAAGGTGGTCCCCTCAGCTGTGAGACCACAGCAGCCAGCCTTACAGCACGGCTCAGCCCTCACAAGGCGCTTTCTTTTTGAATTTATTTCCCACTTCAGCGCTCGATCAAGACACCCCGAGTTACCGCAACGCACCCGGCGCACGGATGAAGCACGGGGCTGAGAAGTCCTTAACCGCGTGCTAATCCCTTAATCCCATTCAGTGGCACAGCAGAGGCACAAAACACTACTACAGCCGCCCGGTACTCAGTATTTACTCACACAATTTTCTCTCGAAGTGCCAGTGAGCAGCCTGATGGGGGGCACCCAACCCAACGCAACACATGGCTCTACCCAAACCGTGCCATTCACTAGGACCTCCCGGTCACCCCGGTCCCACTGCAGCCCCTGGGCCATGGGGACGGCCCCGTCCTGGCCCCGTTTCCCAGTGCTGGTCCCAGTCCCGGTGCTGGTCCCAGTCCCGGTCTCGCCATCGCCCTCCTGCCAAGCACATGCAGCCGGCGGGGCGAGGCCATGCAGGCGATGCCATGGGTTGCACAGCCACGCTGGGCGGGCAGGGCGCATTTCCCCTTTTTTTGCCCCAAACCGAGCGAATCTCTCCTTGGGGGGCAAAATTTCCAATTTCCATCCCGCAGCCCCAGCGGGGCCGGCACGCGGCGGGCAAAGCGCAATGGGGACGGGAAAAAAAAAAAAAAAAAAAAAGGAAAAAAAAACAAAACACAAAAAGCAGCAAAAAGCGGCAAAATAAATAAATAAATAAATAAAAGGAAAAAAAAAAAAGCTACAAACTGCGCTCCGGGCCCACCCGAGGCAGGGCCCACCCGCTGCCCTGCGCCTCCACCGCCCCGGGCACGGCTCCAGCCCCCGACCCACCGTCGGTCTGTCCCTCGGTCTGTCCCTCGGTCTGTCCGTCTGTCCGTCCCTCGCTCCGTCCGTCCTTCCGGCCCCTCCACCCGTCTCCAGGGGCGACCGGAGCGGGCGGGCGGCCGGGCCCCGCGCTCCTCCTCCTCCGGCCCCGCTCCGCCCGCGCTCGCCCCGCCCGGCCCTGCCCCGGGAGGCCCCGGGAGGCTCCGGGGAGGATCCTGGAGGATCCCGGAGGAGGCCCCCGGAGGCTCCGAGAGGCCCCGGTCCGGTCCCGCAGCGCCCCCGAGACGCCGGGGTTGGGGCCGGGGGCTGAGCGCTGGGGGGTGCCCGGTGCTGCTGGTGCTGCCACGCGGTTTGGGGCTGTCGGAAATAAAGGTTTTTTGTGTTAAAAATGAGGCTTTTCTCTTGTTTTGGGGGCGGTGAGGGGCTGTTGGAGTGCTGTGATGTATAGGGGGGTTCATACAGCCCGGGTGCCCCCACAGCAGGGGGGTTCATACAGCCCGGCTCCTGCTGTCCCCAGCAGCAGGACGGTGACAGCAGGTTTTGGGGCGGCACAGCAGCCCCAAGCACTTCACAGACAGATTTTGGCAATTCTTTGGCGTTTTACCAAGCTCAGTGCCCTCACTCTGAGACACCAGAACGGGGGCTGAGCGCACCCTCAGAACCCCCAAAATACTCCATGTCTATGGCACCAGGCCCTGGTTAGCAGCCTCCATGGGGACTTGGTGCCAGGAGGCACCAAACACGGCACCATGGCCCGGCTCCGTGCCAGGACACCCCTGATAACACCCCGATACAAAGCCAGGGCCTCCTCCAGGCCCACAAGCGGTTGCGCCACCGAACCCGGTCCCTCCAGTTCCCCCAGTGCCGCTGTGGAGGCAGGAGCTGGGCTGTGCTGGGCTGTCAGGGCTTGCCCGGTGCCCCCGTGGCCTGCAAATCGTGTTTGTTGGCAGGGGAAGGTGCTGGTGGAAATCCGAACGCAGGCCTGGAAGCCCGTGGCAATGCTTGTTAGATCACGTTCACTTTGGGGTTTGTTCCTGGATGATTCCTGTGAGGATCGAGGGGGACGCAAGCGGCTGCCTTCGCCCTGCAAAGGGCCTGAAGGAGGCACTGGAGAAGGAGCAAACGGCGGCCCCATCGTGGCCGTGGCTTTCTGAGATCAATACTGGGGAAGCTGCTGTGCTATCAGCAGGGATTTGGTGCAGAGAGCATCCCCCGGGCTGCAGCCCCGCAGTCTGGCAGAGGTGACGGTCCCAGGTAAGGCCGTCCTGTCCTCTAATTCCCACAGCCGAGCTGGCTTTGATGCCTTCCCAGCGCAGCCAAGCCCTGATTTTCCTGGCAGAGCCGGGTCTGGGCACGGTGTCAGCCCCTCCGCAGGCAGTGCCTGCAGGCAGGGAGGTGTCACCCGCACCGGGGCCAGAAACAACACAGCCCAAAAAAAGGGCTCTGCACCCAAAAACCATCACCCCACACACACCTGTGGGCATCCCGCAGCAGGACGGTGTCCCCCTGCCACCTCGTTTGGTGTCCCCATTGGCGGGGAGGGATGGGGACAGAGCAGGCACAGGGCTGTGTGGCTCTGGTTTTCTGCCTAGCTTGGGGGAAAATGTTTTTTTTCACCCCAGGTGCGCCCCCACTGCATTTCTGGCAGCAGTTTTCATCACAGACGTAAGTTTTCAGGCTTCTGACAATGGCAAGAATCCTGATCTGGTTTTTCAAGTTTTTGTTAGGGCTTATTTTTCCCAAATTAGTGTAAAGGTGTCTGTTTTTCTCTTAAGTGAGCTGGCTTTTAAAGACCACTGTTTGCATTTTGATGTAGAAGAAACAGAGATTAAAAAAAAAAAAAAAAGTCAAAAGAGAGTGAACTCATGCAATTTCTAATTAAAAAGACAATTTTCCTCCAGCTTCGCAGGCAGCCAGCTGGCTCCCAGGAAGCAATGCCCTCTCGTGGGCTAAGGCAGCAGCTATCCAGTAATTCATTTATAGTCATCAGCTTAATTAACCACCATTTACCTACCTGCTGACACATTTCCTCCGACGGTCTTCTGATGGGAGCAGGGGCTTTTGCTGGTGGCTCTCACATTCAACACCCAGGAGAAGAGGAGAAAACTGAGCTCGATTCCCATCTTTAGGCGAAATGGAGCAAATATTATCTAGGTTTTGAAAAGCACTAAGTACACTCACATCGGGACTATGCAAAAAATTCAGGTGTTTAACAGCAAAATTGTGCTTCTTGACCAGCTGAATAATTCCTCTGATGAACATCAAGATTTGCTGTTCCAGCCGTCCTTGCGGTGATTAATGATCTTCGTTTATTTTTATACACTTATCCTTTAAAAAAGGCATTTTATATGCCATCCACAACTACCAAACAAACAGCGGCCATATGTCTGGAGAATGACTACACTTGCATGAAGCCAGCAATAATTAATAGCAGGGCCGCAGAGATGTTGGCGTTTAAACCTCTCGATCCAAAACAGACTGCCCTTTTTGGTGGCTCCTCCTTTCCAGGCTAAGCAATGCTACAGCATCTTACACCTTTACATCCTACACCTTTTCATCTTGCACCTTTCTATCTCACACCTTTACATCTTACAAAACAAACGAGCAAACAAACAAAAAACCCCAAGTAGTACAAAATTGCCACGCATGGGACTAAACTTCCAGCTCTGGCTCAGAGCAACAAAACCGTAAAAATTAGAGCAGTCTGAGCTGTGTATTTTCTCTCTTAAACTTCTGTTTTCCTTTTTGGACAGGACTGGATGAGGACTCAGCCAGAGGAGACACTCCTGGCCCTGCATCCCTTCAGGATCTGATGTTTTCCTGCCCCAGAGCCCCTAATGCCAGGGCTTCCTCACATTTGTCTGAGGACACGGGACTGAGTTCTGATCTGCAGAATGACACGAGCACTGTATTTCCTTTCTCCTCCACTACAAATATATAAAGCTGGTTACTGTTAATGTATACTACAAGAGGCCTAAGCCTAGATCAGGGCCCCACAATATTTAATATCCTCAGAGTCTTTGCCTCAAGAACTTTCCTGCTTTGTACACTGTCCATCCAGAAGGACTTGGAGGAGACAGGGGAAGACAAAGTGACTTTCTCGAGGACACAAAGCAGAGCAGTGACAGCAACCAGCTCAGAGAAAACTGCAGAAATATGCCCTGCAGTGAGGTCAGTGGTGCCACAGCCCCGACCTCCTTGTCCTTCTGTCTCGGCGTTGCTTTTACATGTACTTGTGACCACTTCCTTCTGGCACAAACACACACAAGGACAGCCACACAATGCAGGGGTTTGTTTTTGCAGCTTGCTTTTTACATATATTGCATCTGCATTTCCACTTGGGCTACTGCAAAGACTTTTCTGGTACTTTCTTCTTTTACTTTGCTCCCCTTAACCCGTAGCAGGGCGCATGAACGCTGTTTTGAATGTGAGGTATCAGCACCAGCCTGTGGGATTTGGTGCAGTACCCAGGGCGTAATCGTGTCCACCACAATCATTTATCTTTGCTGAACTCTTATTCTTCCATGTGTGACAACATGTAGAGTTCAGCCAGGGGACACACTGCAACAACAAACCTGGAAAACAGAAGATCTGCTCTCGGCACGTCCTTCAGCCCTGCTAACGCAAGGCAAGATTTCCTCTGAGCTCTCTGCTCCTCCTGTCCGGGTGCCTTTTAGCCAGGTCCAGTGGTGAAGAAGAGGAAATCTCTGTTGGCCTCAGGACGGTCAGTGCATGTGGCTCAGAGGTCGGTTGGAGCTGTGGGATGGGTGAGGTGTCACCCCACCTGCGATGGCAGAGCCCTGAGCGAACCCCGTGTCCAGGGGATGGGGCAGTGCCGGAGGATTTCCCCCAGGATTTCTTTCCTGAAAAATGTGATTTTTGTCTTGACGGCTTTGCTGAGGTTGTGCTTAACTATAAATACACAGAAAAGCTACTCAGAAAACAGCTAAGACCAGGCAAAGGCTTCCTCCTGGTTTGCACGCAGGGCCGAGGTGTGTGGCTGTGATTTCCTTTGGGAAGGGGCAGCCCCAGACCTGCGGTGCGTTTGGTTCACTGCGCAGAGCCTGGAGCAATATCTACGGGCAGGTACTTCGCACAGGAAACAGAAGGATGCCCGCAGCCAGCAGGGCTTTCTCTAATCCGATTCTGTTGGGCATCCAGGGCAGGAGGACCGGAGGTGCAGGAGACACGACGCAATTTGCAGGTCACCGTCACCCATCACGGTGATGCGCTGGAGGCCAGCTCGAGCCTGTGGCCACGGTGTCCCCTTGTGTGTGTATTTGTGTGTGTTTGTACACACGCTGGCATCGTGCCCGTCGGGCAGAGCTGCTCCTCTGGTGGCTGTGACGTGGAGAGGCCCTGTTTGGGGCTGCTCTGCAGCACCGAGGGGATCCCCCGCAGCTCTGGGGCACTGATCCTCCCCAGCAGGCTGCTGCTCAAAATAGGGCTGCTGCTCCCTCTCCACCCCCGGCTCTGAGTCACGCCGGCTGTGGCATCGCTGCTGACGGAGCCGCTGACGCCGCTGAGGGGTCCCACGGGTCCCAGCCCACCCCTGTCCCCCCCAATAACCCCGTCCCACCACGGGGCAGCGTTCCCAGCCACGATCACCCCGTGCCCCAAAGCACCCCGCTGCCGCCCGTGGGCTCCGTCCCAGCCACCCCAGCCCAGGGCTTTCTCATTTTCGCAGAGCCTGAATTAATGAGCCCAAAAAAATCAATATCTTGGCTGCTCTGCTGAATGCTGAACAGAGCGTGCTAAAGGAGGAAGAGCAGGAGGAAAGGAGAGGGACTGGGGAGCGGAGCTGTTCCCCTCCCCAGGGCAGCCCCAGCACACCAAACAGCAGGGCTTTAACCCACGGGGAAGTCCCTGGGTACGGCCAGCCAGGCGAGCACCCCTCGCATCCCCCATCCCTCCCTTTTTGCTTTCTGACCACGGCTTCCTCCGGTGCTGGTACAACAGAAATGAATGCCATGAAAATGTGAAATGCCAGACATCCCACTGTTACGCGTTACTCACGCTGTGGAGAAGCACCGAGCCCCATTTAGCATCCTCTCTGTTGCGCACAGACCGTTTTTCACCCCCAAAAAAAGAACCCAACAAACCAATGCCTGGAGTTACGTCTGTGGAAAAGAGGAGTTTCGTATGGTCAATAGAAAGAT